GCAGCCGCCCCGAGGAGCTCACCATGGTGATGTTAATGAGGCAGAGGTGCTGATGCTGCCCGGGGTTAATGACTCCTCCAAGTTCCCTGCTGTTGCAGAGAGCAGAGGGGTTGGTTGGAGGCAGAGGTGGGTGCAGGCAGCAGTGGATCTGCTGTTGCTGCAGCCTCAGGCAGCCCCAGCGCTGCCATTGGGGCAGCTCGGTGGGTCAGTGTGTCCAGGCAGTGGGAATGGGCTGGAGAAGTATTCCTGGGATGGGCTGCTGCCAGGATTCAGCCTGGGACAAGTGGGGTCTGTCTGGGGAGACAGGGAAGAAATCCTTGTGTGCACGTGGCCAGTGGGTACCAGGATGCTGTTAGAAATGACTTGAGCAGAGGTGCTGGAGCACTTATGTAAAATATCTAAATAAATCTTTAATATTTCTAATTGCAAATGTACATAAATTGCACGGCCACATCATTGCTTTGAACACCAACAACTTTCTCTGTACATTATTACATAGTTTAAAAGGAGCTGAAGGAGGTTCAGCAAACACTTCCACTTCGCTTGGTTTTTAAACATACTTACAAAAGAAGGTTTGTTTTTCTTTATAAGAGGATATAAAACATAGTGACTGCTTATCAGGAACGAGTATCAGCCTAAGCAGATATACAGAGAGAGGTATATCTTAAGACACAGTGATGTATGATAAAGGAATATGTGAGCATGGAGGCTGCACTCTGGGGTACTGGTAGCTGATGCAGAACCACATGGCATTTACAGCAGTGTCACAGCTCGGGTGTCTGTGGCACCCTCCTCCCAAGCGTGGTTGTTGTGGATGGTGTGCAACGCCCTCGAGGTTGGATTTGGTTTGTAAAGCCCGGGAGCTGGGTGCCACATTCCCATGGGAAGAGAAGGCGGCAGCAGTTACCTGTGCAGGGCTGGAGCAGGGCCACAAGGCCAAGCCTCGGGCTCAGCAGCCAGAGACCTGCTTGGAGGTGGGAGATGCCCCTTCCCGTGGCTACTGAAGGGATCTCATGGTGGCCATGAGGCCATGTGCTCTGCCCCACGCCAGGTCCGGCTGGGATTGCTCTGAGCACTGATCCCAACAGTGGCAGGGGTGGGAAGGGGGATACTGCAGGGAGCTCAGCCCAGTTGGACTGGAGCTCAGTTCCCTTTGGACTTTCTGGCTCTCTCCCTCCAGGCAGAGCTGTGTGTTATGGACAGAGCAGTGACCAGGATGGACGCTGCTGGTGGTAGTGCTGCTGACAGCATCTCCTGGGGTCACAGGGTGCAATGAGCCCCTTGCAGGTCAGACCCATGGACCACACTGTGGCTGGCCTGGGTGAACACATCAGAGCATTTCCCATCTCCTGTGATGAAGTTCTCTCCTTGTCCGCCACAGAGCAGGCCTCAGTGTGTTTCCTATTGCATCTGGGCAGGGATATCGGTAACAGGGAAAAGCTGAGAGTGCTCTGAACTTTGGGAATGATTGATTATGTGCCAGCTGCTTTCCTAGTAGAGCCTGTGATGCCTTGCTTATGGCCAGCAAGTCTCTTTGCCCTTTAGGAATACTTGTAGTAGCAGGACCAGTGTCCTGTACCCTGCAGCAGCCTATGGGGCTGGCTCCCAGCCCCAAGGATTCAGCATGTTCTCACAGTGCAATCAGTGCTTTACAACTGCAGAAGCAGGAAACAAACCCAATCAGACTCAAATGACAGTGCAGTGATGCAGGACTCTTTGGATGGCAGCAGGATTTGCTTAAACTGGTGCAAAAGGGGCTGGTGACTACACTGTAGTGTTAGTTGGCATGGGGAAGGACTTGGGTCCCTCCGATCTTTTGGCACTGAAGCCATAATCCCTGTTCACAGCGATGGCACTTACAGTCTGCAGAGACCTTGGGATGGTGCTCAGTCCATTTCATCCCCTTTACAGGAAACCTTGCTCATTTTTGACAAGCACTCACTACAGTTTAACAAAACCCCAACTCAACCCCCTTACAACAGCATCCTCGAGGTGGGCCAACCCCAAATCTGGATCCCTGGCTTCTCTCCCTGCCCCTTCCCTTAGATCCCCAAGGGAGGAGGCTGAAATCATAAACCTGGGTGTGTGGATCCAGATTTGCAAGCTTGAGCCCCCCTCTCCAAAGCAGTGGTGAGCTACAGCCAAATCCTGCCCGAACAAGCAGCACCAGCGGTTACTATGTACACCTGGTAGTGAGATAGATACGGTACAGTCAACACGGAGAACACTGACCCCAAAATATTAAGACTTGTATTAAGATAAAAGCCCCAGTGTGGTTGTGTCTCAGTTACACTCGGACGCGGTTGCACTGGAACAGCCTCTTACTGGAGGAAGCACAAGAGAAAGGAACCGGAGTCGCTCAGGAACCATCGGGATGGAGCTTTGCTCCGGAGCTGCGAACACCACTTGGGCTTGCCTCTGGTATTGCTGTGCTCGTGTGCACACCCCCCCCACACATACATGTACAGTCCATATATAACAGAAACACAATGTGAAGTGACAGAACTGAGCCTGGAGCTGCAAACCTACCCCAGAACCTGCTCACGAGAGGGTCACCGTTAGGTCTGGTTGTTGGTAGGTGCAGGGAGGGAATGGGGAGGAATGGTAGGGATCTACTGTAAGGAGCCTTTGTCCTGATTGGGATCTTTTCATACGGGCTCAGGAGGTGCCGGCCCTGGAACTGTCAGGGTTCTAAGGACTCGCTGTGGCAGGAAAGCATTCTGCTGGCTCAGCAGAGCAATGCGTGTGCAGTGCCTGGCACGTCCCAGTTAACCAGGAGTTTGTGGCAGATGGGGCGGGGGAGCAGGGCCTTGCCTTGTGGTTGAGGAGATGGAATTGGGCGGTGCTGGGCTCCGGGACTAAACACTTGTTTTGTGGGCGGTTCTCTGTCCCACTGACTGCATCCCAACTTTGCATCCGTCTCTGAATGGAAACGCACCGCCCGCCCCGGGCCCTGCCGGCGTTTCCATTCCTCGTGTTCCTTCTCTCTTGGAAAACTCCCGTCTCTGCAACACAGGTATTTGGATCTGACCCCATCAGCTCTAACCGTGGGCAACAGTGGCTTAAAACAGTCGCTTTTTCTGCAGGGTGGTTACTGTGTGTTTGAGACAATGGCAGATGGAAGTGTACGCACCCAACGGTTCGCAGTGCCCTGTGTGCTCCTAACCTGCCTGGGTCTTTCTCCAGCTGGAGCCTTGTCAGTCTGGTGCGGTTCTTCCAAGCCAGCTGTGCTAGTCTCCAACATTCATCTGGCATTAATACTTATTCCTGCTCCCTGTGGAGCTCTGGCTGGGGTCTGCTGGGACCGCCCCACGCTGCGGGGCTGCCGGCGTGCGCAGACCTCAGTGCACCGCGTCCTCTCCTCCGTGGCCCAGACCGCACCGGGCTCGGCCCAGGGCTTCCCGGGAGCAGAGAAGCGTTTGGGACCAAAAGGCATCATCGTTAGCTGTGAAAACAACTGCATGTGGGGAATGCTGTGAATGAGCCTGGGGGCAGCATGGCAATGCAGAGCTTACTGGCAAAGTGTCCTGCTCAGGCAGCCTAGGTGGGGTGAGGCTGGAGACGGTACCTGGGCTGTGCAGAGCTCAGTGAGCATCCTAGTCCCTTTGTACATTTACACATGGCAGGAGGAGCTAGGAGAGGCGTTGAGCAGTGTAATAAACCTTAGTGGGAGGAACAGGCAGAGGTCCTGTACACTGTACACTGTCATCCGTATCTCAGAGAGAGCTCAGGGGCTCTTGGTTACGAGTGACCTGCTCTGAGAGTGGGAGTCATGAAGTGCTACCTTAGAACAACCACAACCCAACAAACACACCGCGGCGGCGCGCTCCCCCGTTAAGGAGGTGACCCCTCCGCTGAGCACAACGGGAATGTGCCGGGATCTGCGTCTCAGCAGCTGGGAAAGTCTAATCCTGGCTTATGCCTGCACAGTGCTCCTGACAAGGGGCCTTTCGGTGGTGGCTGCTGTTCTTGGTGGTTACTCCCTTATGACCATGTTTTACATTCTTCGAGCCGGTTAATTTCCATGCAGTGCTCATTCCCAATTTAAAGAGGACAGTATTCCAGAAAATGGGATCTTTTTTTTTCTAATGCATACTGTGAAAGAAAAGAAATACAATTACCGATCTTCATGGTTCTTCAGGGCTTTTTTTTTTTTTTCTTCTTTGTCTGTTTTTCTCCCCAGAAACAGTAAAAATCTCTGCACAGAGCATTACACCCCCATACGACCCCTCTGGCACACAAGCAGCTGGTGAGCTCACGCAGCCCCTCACTCCCCCTCTACCACACCGGGCACAGGAAATGCAGCCCCTGCTCATTCACAGCTCAGGCAGCAGCTGTGTATTCTGTGCCTAGAAGTGTGCCTGGGCAGGGCAGGATGGCAGCGCCCGGGGCTATCGCTTACACCGGCTCTTCCCCAGTACTCGTGCGAGCTGAAGCTGTAGAGAGGCATCAAGTCGCTGTTCAGGTGCCAGCTCCTCCCTCCACTTGCATGCCAGAGCCTTGGGCTTGCTCTGCTCCCCTGGGCTGCCCAGGGACCCCCAGCAATGCCCTTCTCGCTGCCCTGCAGCACCCCTTTGGCTGCTCCAGCACCCAGCCTGTGCCCTGCCCTCTCATCTGGACTGTGCTCCCTCTCTGCTGGAGTGAATTCAACACTGATCCTCCTGCAATGCCCCTGTGGACACTCAGTGGCCTCATAAAAGCCATGTAAGGAGGCTGGGCTGGGCTTAGGGCTTGCTTTGGGAGAGGGCTGTGATCCCAGGGGAGTCACAGGAGGAGCGGGTGCTGCATCCCTCGTACAGCTACATCCAGCAGCACCCTCTAACTGGCCTTTACTGGGCCCCTGCCTGCTGCAGGCCCTGCCCAGCTCCCTTTGTGTCGCTTACTGCAATGACAAGGACGTTACTCCTTGCTGGGAGGGGTGAGGCGTATCCTTTGGGCAGTTTAGAAGGAAAAAAGGGTAACTTTTGTTTAAACATTAAACACTGATTGAAATCCAACAGTGACAGCAATGCTCAAATATATGTTATTTCCTTATGCCACTCATCTCACACTCGATCTTTCCGTCCCCTCAATGTGCTGGCATTAGCATCTCCCACAGAGGCTCAGTCAAGCGCCGTCCGCAGTAAGGAGCGGGGTCCTCAGGGGGAGCAGCCGTTCTCTGAAGCTCACGCCTGCTGCTGCACGGTCTCTGTGGCCTCCTCCTGCGGCTCCCTCCGCGGGTTAACAATTACTGCTGTTTCTGAATTCGCCATTCTCTGTAATCTGCAATTTAGTTGGGTTTGTGGGGGAGATCCCATTACGTGTCTGCATGCTGTACCTCTCTTTGAGCTGAGTAAGGGCACTCATTAACCGTGCGTTGGCAGCATCCAGGGAAGCAATGCGTTTCTCCTGCAAGCAAAGGGGCAGAGGGGAGGGGTCAGTGGGAAGGCATGGAGACACGTCCCTCCGTGATGCCTCTCGGACCAGGACCTTTCTCTTTGGCATCCTGAGGTTTTTAGGGGTTTTGAAGTGCTACACAGCGCTCCTGGAGGTCCCCTGCGTTGGCAGGGACACAAATGGGCTTTGCCTGTGCAATGTGAGCTGAATTCCTGTCAGCATCCTGAGGAAAACGGAGGTAAGGCAGTTTAACCCCTCCGTTATGCAGAAATCCATTGTACTGTGTGCAGCTGTTAAAAGGTGGTCAGGTTCCTTTTCTAAACTCAAGCTCTCCCAGGACAGTTATTCCTTCAGTGTTTAATTGACTTTGTTACCATAAATTAATAGTTTAAATGACTTGTGCTGTCCCAGGATGGCTTTGATGGCAACTCCTACCCATCGCAGTATTGTAAGGATGGGAGCAAGAGCTTCTGTGTTGCAGCCGCTCCTGTTCTTTGCCAGTGTCCTCATCCTCCTCTGTCTGCCACTAACAAAAGGGAACAGAACTGACTGGGGAGTAGTGCTTCTGTGTAACTTTGATGGTCCCTCATGTATGAACACGTCCAACACTATTGTACAGCCTTAGAGGATAAAAAGAGACCCATGCAGGATGTGCAGGGCCCACGGTAGGAGCCTCACTTGTAACACAGTGTGGCAGGAGGCAGCACAGCAGGTTGAGAGGTGCTGTTTGGAGGGCTCCCACCTTACAGACCCCCCTGTGTGTGCCAGGCTCCAGGGAACAGGAGGATTTACTGGCTTTGAACACCCTACAGAAAAACAGGGATTCTTGTACCAAAGTTACCACTGCCTCAGCTCCTTTTTAATTAGCTGTATGGTGAATTAGTCATGAGCAGTGACGCACCAGTGATTAATAGGGTTGTTAAGAGTAAGCCTAGACTATAGTATCACCTAGCCCCAACTGCCTGCTGAGAGGATGCCTAACACATCATAGAGTGTATTTTCAGGTTCTCCTTTCCAAGCCTGCTGGTTGAACCCATCATCTGATGCTCCTCTGCCAGTGTACTCCATAGCAATAACTGAGCTCCCCAGTCCTCCAAACCACAACCCAAAGGCTGAACAAAGCACGTTCTCTTTGCTCTGACCAGGCTCTGTGTTCCTTGTGCCCAGGTCCTGCGATCATTACTGGAACATGAAGCACCAAGCGAGGCTCTGAGGGCCTCAGGACATGATCCTTCCACAAACTGAGTTGTGGGCATGATCCTTCCACAAAGTGCCACCCCCCACATCCTCCGTGTCACCTCCCAAGCTCCACGGTTGGAAACCACTGTATGAACGTGACTGCTGCGACAATAAACCAGTACCTGCTGAACCTGGCTCTGTCCCTGGCTGCAGCGTGGTGCTGCTTCACCCAGTGCAGTCCCGCCATGCCTGAGCTGGCCCTGCTGCGGGGCAGGGGGCTGCACAGGGGCAGAGTCACCCCCAAAGTGCCGCAGCCCCTGGCAGTGGGACTCACCTGTGCATCGATAATCTTCTGCTTGGAATCCACAGCAGCCTGCATTTCTGCATGGTCCTTCTTTAACTCCTCCTCAACTGACATCAGCCTGGTCAAACAGACAAGGGCGAGCATTACACGTGTTGGGCTCTGCTAAGCCCAGGTATTATCCCCATAACACCCCTGAATCAGCCCCCCAGAGTGAATGATACAGATCACGTCCCCATTCAGGCCCTGACACTAAGGAAGTAAAGGGGTGATGTACATCCCTGAAGCGCACAGGGAGAGATGGGAACTCTCTCTCGGAGAGGACTCTTCATCAGGGATTGCAGTGATAGGACGAGGGGCAACGGGTTCAGACTTAAATGGGAGATTTACTTTGGATATAATGAAGAAATTCTTCCCTGTAAGAGCAGTGAGGTGCTAGAACAGGTTTTCCAGGGAAGCTGTGAATGCCCCATCCCTGGCAGTGTTCAAGGCCAGGTTGGACACAGGGGGTTGGAGCAACCTGGAGTAGTTGAAGGTGCCCTGGCCCATGGCAGGGGTTGGAACTGGATGATCTTAAGGTTCTTTCCAACCCAAACCACTCCTTGATTCTATGACCTGCAGTTGTGCATTTGAGCATAAAGGAGGCACACAGTCATTGGCACTCACCGTTTACACACAAACCAAGAGTTCAGAGCCAGTCTTTTTTCTGGCTCTTCTCTAGAGCTCCCTACAGCACTGTCCCAAAGCTTAAGTGATGCAGAATGGTGAGGGCTGACCCATCTATGATGGGTCATTACTAGCACTAGGTTGGTTTGGCTCAGGTGAAGGCTGCACTGAACATTCTGTGTCCCGGACAAATGTAAACACCACATCCCACTGGGCAGAAGAGATTTATAGCTAGGAGTAATGGGATGGTGATGAGAGCTTTAGCTAAACACCAGGAAAAGAACATTTTGATCATCACCTCTATTGCTCATTGGACAGAAGAGCAAACCTGCCAGATCCTCTGGGAACTGGGGCAGCTGCCAGCAATGCAATCATGAAGTTTTGCCTTTGTGAATCAGGGAAGTGTCAGGGTTTTCCTTGTCCAGGTAACACGGATGGGTGGGAGGGAACCCAAAGAGTTGGGGCTTTAAACTGCCCCTGGGAGCTGTAACCCAGACAGGCAGGAGGAGGATGAATTGTGGAAAACCTACATGGGAAACCTGCCTGCAGCTCCAAAGAACCCAGACTGTCCTGAGCACTGATGCCAGCCAGGCTGCCTGCATTACCATCACCTCCAGCACTCCCATGTCCCCTGTACCTGCTGATGATGCCCTTCATCTGGATCTCCTTATCCTCCTGCTGCCTCCGGAGCCGCTCCTCGCTCTCCTCCAGCCTCGCCTGGTATTCCAGCATCAGCTTCTGCGTCGTCTCCTCCTGGCACTTGAAGCGGGTCTCATATTCCTCCAGCTTCTTGTTGGAAATGCGCAGCTTGTCCTGCAGCACCACTAGGTCCTGCTGGTACTACAGCACGCAGGGACACACACAGGAGGAGAAAACACATGTGGCACGTTACCCAGTAGGGCTTTGCCCATCGCCCCCTCATGCCCCTCTCCTTGCACAGGACCAGCTGCAAACCCGTGCGGGACAGCCCTGCTGGCCGACACCTCCTCTTGGGTCTTCTCCACTGCGCCAGGAGCGGCGCCGCGTCCGCTGGGGGGGTCACTGCCAGGTTCAGAGAAGGGGACGTTAGCGGGGTCTGGCATTTCCCAGGGGGTGCAGGTGAGAGCCAGCGAGAGGCGAACGCAGCCGAGCACAGGCAGGAGCTGCGCTGGTGGGATTCTGGGTTTACACAGGAGCTCTTCACACAGCGCTAAACGGGGGTGCTCTGGACATGCTGGAAGCCAAGGACGAGCAATCAGTGCTGCCTGTGCCCTGCTCTCTTGGCACAAGGAGTCCACCCTTACCAAGGTGAGGGCAACTCAGTGTATTGAGTGGGGCAGTGAACGCCACTACCTTTTGGGGCCCAGCATGTTAAACACAATCAGATGTCAAACCAGGATTCAACCCGAGAAGAGCTGCTGCATGAAGCCAAGATCCCACGGTTGTTCTGTTCATTCAGATGAAGCTAAAATCAGCAGCAGAAGAATCACATAAAGCAATCAAAACACGGAGAGCGTTTAACTCAGTGGAGCTGGTTCAGCTCCTGTACAAGCTCAGCAGTCGCTGCAAGTTGCTTTGCTAAAGGAAAATTCAGCTGTAAAAAACCCATCCTAACACAAAGACCTTAATTTAAAAAATTAGCTTTGGAAATAGTCCTGAACCCAGCCCCTGGATACTGAACACACTGCTGCTAATGGGACAAGCTGCTCTGAGAGTCAGGTAGGGGAAGAGACTTCATCTGAGTCATGAAGTCTGTCACAGAGCTCCAAATGTTATTCATGAGCTGACAGAAATGCACTTCAGTGTGTCCTGAACTGACCAGCTGAAAACACAGCCCTCCCCTTTGGCCAGTGCCACCTGTGTAAGCACCCAAACGATGGACATGGTTGTGTCCCAGTGATGGGGAGTCCACCCAGCCCATGTCAATCCACGTTGCTGTCCCGATATCACTCCACTGACAGCAGAAGGAGCTTTAACTCCCAGGGATTGAAAATCTATGATGCTGATGGGCTTCCTGACCTGCCAAAGCACTCGAGCCATGGCTGGCAGATGGGCAGGAACGGGCACAACACAGCACTGAGCCTCCTTTAGCAAAGCTTTTACTGCAGCACTGGAAGGAACAGTTTGCACATGTAACCTGCAGCGACGAGGGAACATGAATGCCCATACAGTGACACAGAAGCACTAAAGTCAGACAGAAGGGAGCTGCTTGAACAGGAAAGATTAAATACCTACCCTAGCCTTAAAATAGGAGCTCAAATGATAGCAGGAGAGGCCTCAGAGACCGAAGGAGTCGCTCCTGTCTCTAGAACAATTGTCTCATTCTCCGTGACCATTCACGTCTTACAGTAATGGGGAGAGAGGTTATGCTAATGGTGATCTTTAATGTCAGTGACTGATGTGACAGCAAAGTAACAAAAGATGCTGCATGGGAATGAGACAGCAGGCTCGGGGGGGGGGCTCCTGCTCAGCTTGGGACAGGGATGGGTCTGCTGCAGTGCCCTCGGTGCTCAGCCTGGCACGCACCGGGTGCACCCCAGAGGGACAGGAGGAAGCCAACACCTGATTCCCAGCGTGTGCTCCTTCAGCATTTCACCTCAGCCTGGTTCCAAAGCTTGTCCCTGCCATCCCTATTGCAGACTCAAACCCCTTTCAGAAGCCCTGCAGTGACTAAAAGCAGCAACAACCCAGTGCGTGATGCACCCGTCTGACAACGCCTCCTCTCTGATTTGTGCCTGTGGGTGTCTGTGCTTAGGTGGTAGCTAAGATTTCTCTACCCCTGCTAACAGCCTGCTGCAAGTGCACCTGGGTCAGCTGCTGCCTGATCACTGCGTGTCTGCATTTACAGGAATACCCAAGGAGCAGAAAGCCAGTGAGAAATGGGCTGAGCTGTCACAAAACTCTGCCACGTTCTCCCTGGGGCAGCTGGAGCTGTCAGTCCCTGTGGTACCTGCCTCTGGAATACCCCTTAAGTTACCCGGTGGCAGTCCCACGGTGATGCAGCACGGCAGAACGAGAACAGGAAGGGGATTTAACATGAACAGAAACACGTCTGTGCTGGAAGAGCAGGAAGGAGGTCGAGGGAGGGGATGCCTCAGTTGTGCGGCACCGGGCAGTGACATGCGGCGGACAGAAGAGAAGCACATTGAGGAACACCCCAAATGCCAACAGTGCCCAACTGCAGGTCCCGGCAGCGCCAGGCTGTGAGGAAGCACCCTGTAGAAGCAGCCACCAGCAAAGATGGGATCTTCCCAGCTCCTGACTCCTCTTTTCTAACCTTCCTCCTTCACCCCTGGTCAGGCCTCCTCTGTCCCTTCCCTGCTCATCCCACCCGAGCCTTGTCCCGGAACAGGGACTGTGGGCTCCAGCTGAATACTCTGGAACGGACCCCAGGCTCTGTGGGACACAGCCGTGAGCTCAGGGCAGCATCACTGCACCATGGAAGCCACCCCAGTGCTGTCTCTGAGACCAGGATCTGCTCACACTTCCATTTTGACATGGAAACTGCTTCTTGCTACATGTCCGTGCTGTGAGGCTGCCTGCAGCTCGCTCTCATCTCTTTTATAGCTGTGTTTTACTCACTTTCTGAGCTTCCCTCCCCTGCAGATGGGAGCAGCAATGGGAGAAGTAACAGGCACTCTCTGGCTTGAGTCTGTTGCAGAGCAGCACCAGCACTTGATTCCTGGCTCCTGTTTTTCTTACTTGCTTGATCAAGGCTAATTCCAGTCGCTGAGTGTGTGAAAACCTCCCAGCCCTTCCCCAGGAGCGCCCTGTGAGGCTGAGCAGGGCAGAGAAGGCCCCGCTCCAGTGCAGGGACCTGCCCCACAGCCCACCCTGTCCCCAGGCTGCTCGGACCAAAGACATTCAAGGAAATCCTCTCTCTATTTAGACACTTGTTTCAATCCAATCAGGTTTTACCTTTTCTGCTTGGCTGAGCTCGTCCTTATTCCTGAGCTTATCCCTGTGCTTGGAATCTGGGTCAATGCTTTCATCTTCTAAAAACTGCATGTTCATATTCAAAAGCCAAGCGGCAGTGCGGTCCAGGGCATTGGGGTTCACAGGAGAAGGGGCCTACAATGAAACATACAACCATAACAAAAGAAAAACCTGTAACAGAAATGGTCGTGAAGCTGGAGAGAGAATTTGCTTCCAAGCCCTCTCCCGTGCTGCTCCAACAGCATCCAACAACCTGAGCTACCGGAGCGGATGGGGAGGAACAGCTCCTGCTCTGGATCTGCATGTTATTTTAGGTCAAACAGCCTTTGACAGGCCAGATCCTTCCCTGTACCACCCCACAGAACAGGCGTAGGGCATGGTGCTGCAGTGCAGCTTCCTGCTGGAAGGGCCCAGGTTTCAGGTCCTGTCACCTCTGAAGGACGTGACCTGAGAAGGCACCGAGGGAAACAGTGGCTTGATGTAGTGTAGGCACTCCACAAGCAGAGATTTCGCTCCTCAGCTTCTCCCACTGAGCTTGCTTTCTGCTTGCTGTGGAGATTCCACACAGATAAAACCAGATCTGCAAACTGAAATGCTGCTCCTGGTCATTCAGGTGCCTTTCTGGAACACAAAGGTTTCTTCTTGGCGGAGACTACACTTAGGATGCTGAAGAGGTCCAAATGCTCCACATCTTGGCAGTGTATCTCTAGGTCTGCTCATGTAGCAGCTCAGGGGGCAGTTCCATGGTCACTGAGTTAGAGCCACAGCTGCTGTTCAGTGCTAGCCTGGGCAGGGACTGCAAATGGCATTGCATGCATGTTTTCCAACCACATAACAAGGCCGAGGAAGTCAACGTCCAGCTACTTCTGCTCCATGCTGGCTCACTGTAAACCACAGTGAACAGCTTCTTGGATGACTGCAGATGATCTGGATGACTTGGACAAGGGAATTCAAGTTAATGAATCAGAAATACTAGGGACTTTCTCCTCATTCAAAGCTCTGGACTGTGGAGAAACCCAGTCACCAGCAAGCAGCAGCACAGCAGGTTCTGTCCTGGGAGGAGTGGGGTCTGGTTTCATCACCTCACTGGGCTTGGAGGCTTCCCTGTGCTGTCTTCTGCTTCCACAATTCCAAATCAGAAGTCCCAGGCTCGGCTCATGAAATCCCTTGCTGTAAACCCTCACCTTTCTTGCATCTCCAGCTGGGGCACTGCATCTGTGGGGGCTGCTCAGAATCCATGGCTCCAAGGAAAGGATGTCACTGAGAGCTCAGCTCGCTCTGCACGGGTCCTTCTGCCTCCTCCTCCCTTCTCTGAATGAGTGAAAAAGGACATCTGATCTCTAGGACAGTCTGAACTCAGCTCAGCAGATGAACTCCAGTAGCAGAGGAAGCGCTGCTGGCTGCCAGGAACGAGGTTCATGCACTTCTAAAATGGCCACCAAACACGATTCCTTTGTTCTCAAACAATGTTTAATACCACCACCTCCAAGCAAGCAGCTTCATTATGGCTCACAGATGGTGCTAACATCCAAGCAGGGAGAGGCACTCTGAGGACCTCAGGTCTTGAGAGGAGCAGAGGGGCAGCTGGAGGATAGATGTGCACACACAGCTTGGCCAGGGCTCCCCGAGGGTCACCCCCAGGTCACTGCTGCCTGCTCCCAAAGAGGCTGCTCCGGCAGAGCTCTGTGCCCCCTGTCCCTAATGAGTATTGATCCCCCCTGCACAAACGCTGCTACGCGGCGTGCTTGCTAATGTCGGTGCTTAGGAATCGATACCGTGTGCACCGGGCAGCTCCAGATGGGGCTGCCAGAACAGCCTTGAACGGGCACCAGTGCCAAAGGCCTCCACGGCTGCCTTGGGAAGGAGAGGCAGCTACACCACCTCTGTTCAGTGCCACGCTGCTGAAGTGGTGCCTTAATACTGTGCCTGGGCTGAGATGCAGTGAGCTCTTGTTGTCCACATCCTCTGGGTTCGTGGCACTCTTGCTTTAGGCACTGAGGGGCCCTATGGGGTTAGTTTTCTATAGGGTTACTTCTGAAATGGAGAATGAATAAATGAGTCCTAGAAAACCAGTTTACCCCAGCCAGGAACACCAGAGGGCCCTGGGTCTGTGACCTACTGCTTTCTGGTTTAGCACCATGAACAGTGAATTTGTTTCTGTGCAGACCAGCACGTGGCAGGAGCATCACTCGGTGGGGAGCACACTCCTTCCTTCCTGCTCTCTCACCTCCCCAGATAGACTTACAGGAGGGCATCACAGGGCAAAGAAACAGGAATGTCCAGGAGTGCTCTGGCTTCGCTGGGACAGGAGCAGCAGCAGGGACACTCTTAGTGACAGGAGATGAGGGCCTGGTCCAAGCCTGGGAGATGGTGCGGGGTTGACTATGGCATGGGATGAGAGCCTGGGCATGGAGAGGCGAAGCAGTGACGAGATGGTAGCGCAGGACAGAGGCACGGCTGCCACTGCCCTCGTGTCTCCGCCACCTACTGCCCTGTGGCAGTCACACACCAGCACAGGGAGCGAACACCCATCTGTGTCCCCTTCCTCTGCCTCAGGCCAAGCTGGGTGCAAGAGCCGGGGTACCTCCACATGCAAGGCCACCACGGGGCTGGCACCGATGCGGTCACTCGCAACCACCGCGACATCACCTCCCACTGCAGCAATCCCCGCCTGGCCACCCTCTTCTCCAAGTCCACGCCCTGACCCTACCTGACCCCTTTATCGCCCGGAGCTCGTCCCGCCCCACACTCACCTGCTTGTGCATCGTGCGCTGCTTCATCTCGGGGCTGTCACCCTTGGAGGAGGAGGACTGCTGCCGGAGGCGGGCGCCGCTGCCGGGCCAGTCGGGCGAGGAGGACATGATGGTGCCGCTGGAGGGCCGCGGGTACTGGACGGTGCTCAGCAGGGAGGGCGGCGTGCGGCCGCGGGTGGCGGGTGGTGGCGGCGGCGGGGGCTGGTCTATCCGGCGCTGCGGCCCCGCGCTGTTCTGCCGCGGCACCGTGGGCTGCCCACCCTTCTCGGTCAGCGAGAGCTGCCTGCGGGCCAGCTCCCCGGTGCGGCGCGCAAAGTCCTCGCTGGCGGCGGGCGCGGCGAAGCCATGCTTGTTGGCCGTCAGCTCCTCGCTGTTGCTGTGGGAGCTGAGCGAGCTGTGGCACTCGGAGCCCGAGTCGGCCAGGCCGCGCGGGGACAGCGGCAGCCCCGCTGCCATCTGATAGACGGGGTTCTGGAAGGAGAGCGGGGCCAGGAGCTGCGGCCGGCCCGGCGCGCTCTCGCCGCTCGGCGTGGTCGGGGTCTGGCCCACCCGGCGCACGGTGGCCATGCCCGTGACGCTGTTCTGCTGAGTCCGTGTGCTCCATACGCCCTGCAACTGCCCCAGGGATGACTGACTGTCATTGAGGGAGTCAGCCCCGCCGGGCGCGTTGGCCCCACTGTCCAAGAGCCGATTGTCCTGCAAGTCCACCATGGACAAACTCTTGCTGCCATTAGACATCTGCACGTCGGGCTCATTGGCCTCTGAGTAACTGGAGCTTCGGGCAGGCGAGGGCTGGGCCCCAGCAGACCTTGTGACAAAAAACAAGTCCTTGTTTTCAGGGGTTGGAGATGGTAACCGTGTGAAATCTATCAGACTGCGGGGAAGGCAGTGCGTAAGGAAGAGGAAAGGAAAACAAAACAAAAAAGAAGAGTTGTGAATGCTGCACCGGAGCAGGACAAACCCAAATCACTCAGAAGAAATCAGCGTGGCACAGCTGTGTGGGACCGGCCGAAACCCAGGCCCTGGGATGCAGGGACAGTGCAGGGGGAGCCAGGGGACGGGGGAGACCTGGGCAGCCCCATGGGAGCAGGCAGGGGAGCCAGGGGTGAGTGTTTGCATGGGGAGCACTGCATTGTGCAGGATGCATCTCCAGCTCTGCCTCCCCAGCTGGACCTGCTCACTGAGACAGGTGTCAGAGTCACCCCTTCTGCTCCCAGCTGGCTGGACCCCTGCTGCTCGCGTGTGCCCTGCTCTGTACCCAGGCAGTCAGCTCCTGAGGGCACACCGGCCAAACCAGAGAGCATGGAACACCATGGGAGCCTGATCCACACCACGCCTTCAAGGATCAGAGAGAGAGCTCCAACAGCAGAGCTACAGCCCAGCAACAGAATACGCACCCAGACCTCCTGCTGCAACATACATTCATGCAATATTGATTTTCTTGGGGATAGGAAGAAAGAGCTTTGCAGTAGATTAATGTGAATATACACTGATCAAAGATGGTGCACTGTAAGCAAGTATTTGGGTGAAAGCATATTGTCAGACATCCTCCATAGCATTAAATTTAAATAATTGCACCTCATGCTGGGAAGCATTAGAGATGAAAGCTCTGATTAGAGCCAGTCCAGTGCCATTGCTGCCTTTCATTCCTAATTAAACTGTTAAATATTATGTAGTTTCCACTTACAAGCTATTTTACCACCTCAGTCTTTCAATTTGTGTGGGCTCCATTTCATTTTCCACAAACAGAAACATTACAAGGTTTGCAACAGTCATCTTCTCCATGAATGAAACTCCTTATATAATGAGCCCAGAACGCATGTTAGGTGACCGTGTCTGTGAATCACTGCTCATCATTAAAAACACCCAGTATTATAAAACTAGACAGAGTAGACTGGAATGTCTCTGTCAGGCCTCTACAGCTTTGCAACTGTTAAAGAAATGTCGAGGTTTGGATCTCAGTGAATTCAGCACATACCATTCGTTACGTCTTACAAAGATGGCTAAGGCAAATCCTATAGATCCTGCATACCCAGTGACCCAATGAACTTAATGGCAACGCCAATCACTTTGAGGTTAGTGCAGACAAGCCCTTAGGTCCTCAAAGGATGAACATTTGGCTTCTGCAGCCACATGCCAAGAGCTGAGAACAGAGATACCAAGTTCTTGTTTCCCAGACCACATCCCAGCTTTGGCTCTCAAGGGACCCAGCATGGAGCTGTGTCCTTGCACTCCTGCCCACTGCTCTGTCCGGATTCAGAGCTGAACTACAGCCAGTTCTGTGATCAGAAAGCCCAGTGAATGGATCAGCCACCTCCACATAGACCCTGCCTCGCCTGTCCCAGCAGGTGCTCAGGTTTTGGCAGCGGATGAACATTCAGCATTTCCCTGGTCTGGGGCCAGGCCCTTCATGCTCTTACCCAGATAAGTCATTCTCTATCACCATTTTCTGGAGCCCCGCAGAGATGCTGTTGCCAGCACTGGGTGTGGATGCGGTGTGATCAGCTGAGACCGAGACCTGCACGCAGGCCGGGTTACTGAGCGCAGAGTTGACATCCCTCAGGATCCGAGGCAGAGGCCCAAGCTTCGTTGCAGTGCTCTGGGGAAAAAGAGAGCAGAATTACTACCAACACCTTGTGGTTTTGCTGGAGAGCTGTGGTCTTTGATTCACTCTCTTCAGTGAATCACGTTTATTACACAACATTCATTTTCTCCATCATTTACCCCCACCACTGAGGCTACGGGATGTCCCAGCACATGTGGTTATAGAAGCCAAGGGCTGCCCCTGTGATCCCCCTGGATACCTGCTCCAGTTGAGAAATGACTTCCCAGAGTAGTGAGTGCAAAGTGGACAGTTCCCGGCCAAGGTCAATGTAGCCTTCAAAGCCAGCGGTGTTTGAGATGGTTTCGGGGTTGGAAATCTCCAGGAGAAACCTCTGCATGTTAGTCCATTCGTGTTCCAGGAACTGGTTCATAAAGGACATGTACTCCTCTTTGCTGCCAAACCTATCAAGACAGCAACAGGGATTTCAGCTAAATCCTGTAAACAGATACAGCCAACAAAATGGGTAGGTACATACACAGGTGAGGATGCCAGAACCTTCCTCGCCCACCTGAATCCTTCAAAGCCTTTGGGATGCCTGGGTTGCTAAGCAGGTACCTGGTACACCTCACTGATCATGGAACCAAAATTAACTCCAGCCTAACCCAGATATGTCCTCGTCAGTGTGGGATCTCCACAGCAGAAATAAAGGTGAAAGCCAGAGAAACAAAGCTGTTGTTGGTAATGGTGTGTATCTTACTGCTGGGTCAGGGCACAGCCTCCAGAAATAGGACCTGTCACTGGAAATAAATCATAAAACCAAGCACCATCAACTGCTGAAGCCCATGATGGTGGCACGAATCCTGCACTCTCCCTGCGCTTCCACAAGGACTGGAGCTAACCCCAGCCACTGCTGCCCCAGCACAATGGCTCTGGGATCACCCTGGAGAGCTACACTTGCAGCTGGGCCACCCCACGTGTTCCCTCTGGCATCCTGCAACCTCCTCTGCCCCCCGAGCACTTCCCAGACCCCCCTCTGGGTTAGATGTCTTATTGAGAGCACACCAGGGAGGGTCTCGTGGTTCAACTGTACCAGCAGTGGTTGGTGCTGTGCCAGTGCCAGCGATCCCGAGGCTCGGCTGTGTGCCAGCTGCGGCACAGCTCAGCTCCATCACTCTGACTGACTAATGTCAGCTTAGTTAAAAGAGTTTCCTGCAAAGTGCTGAGAATCTGAAAACCCTTTAGTTAGGGATTGGTCAGGAATAGAGAGAATTGCTGTCATCGAGTGTAACACACTTGTACATCTTCCATCTGCGTCTGCATGCCTGCACGCTCCTGACGGCGAGCGTGTGTACTAAGCTGGATTCCAAATCTAAGAAGCTTTAGACAGAAACTGTCCATTCATGTTTCGGAAAGCTCATCATTTTGTTATCAGAGCTCAGCGTAAGTAGCTCAGAGCTGCAGCCAGTGGAAAGATTCTCAGAAATCTCTCGCTTTGTTTCCACCAAACCAATGGGTTTAGTTAGAAACGGATAGGATTTAGTTGGAAACAGATAGTGTTCCCTTCTCCTTTCATACCCTCCCAGTTCAGACAACTGCATTTAAACAGCAGGAGGGTCCTAGAGCTTACAGGAGGGAAAGACCAGCTCCTGAGCAACAAGCTGCTGTTGGGGTTCTGGTCCTGCTGGTGCCCCCGAGAGGCCAACCATGCCATGCCAGGACAATGTGCCTGGCTGTGCCAGGGTGTCCCTGCTGCCAGCCCGCTGGCTCCTCTGTGTGCTCAAAACAGCTCCTTTTCCTGCTCATAAAACACGTCCTGTTTTGGAAACTTCAGTGATCTCCCTGACCCCGCAGTGAGGGAATGGGTCCCAGAGAGACGTGGGGGAAACAGCCAACAGGAAACAACCAGACCCCTTCCACCGAGGCGAGGAGCAGGCAGTGCGGGGCTGTGGGGCCGGTGCTGGGCTCTGCCTGCACACCCGGCGCCTCCTGCCCGCTCCCATCCCGGCTCCCGGCTTACTTGGCAAAGTTGGCGAGGTTCTGGGTGACCTTGGCAATGAGGGTCAAAGTGCGTGCAGTGCGGTCGTCCGGGTACTCCTGCAGGAGGCTGAAGAGGGACGGGGACATGATGGCGGGGCACAGGAACCGCAGGAACAGGGAGGCACTGATCAGTCGCTCGCTGATGTCCGGGCGGCCGCGGTTGCTGCATTCTTGCCTCCATGAGGCAAAAACTTCCTTGAGCTCCCTTGGGAAGACACTGGAACGAGAGGGGGACATAGCAGGGATGGGATGTTCAAGGCCCGGGTGCTCAAACTGCCACACAGCAGTAACTACATATGGTGTGTATAAGCTGTGGGGTACGACATGCAGACCCATACAGCGGTAGAGCTCTCTCACCCTGCTGATGCACAGCAGCACCACCACTCGCATCAGTCACATCCCTGTCCTTGTTTTCTGCAGGCCACACAGGACAAAGCAAAGCTGCTCCATAATGCTGTAGGAGAAGCAGCTTTCACCACACTAATGAACACTGTCTGGTTGTGCTGGGTGCTAAACCCCTGGACAACTGGGAAGAGGGAGATATGAGACAACCTGTGCAAAGCAGCTCTTCCCAAGGCAGCTGATTGTGTCTCAGGGTGCTCTGACCTAGGGGAAGCTCAGCCACCAAGGGGGATTGTGTCTCCTGAAGAAACACAGCATCAGGGACCCCCTCAGCAGGAACATCCATGGTACCGGGCTCACCAGTGCGGCTGTGCAGGTTGTAATACTCCTGTTCAAGCACATGGATCAAATCCTACCATGACCAGTACAAACACGGAGCCCCACTGGAGCTCCTCCAGCCCTATAGCTGCACAGACTCAGCCTGGCTTTCCTGGATACCAGAATTCCCCTGGCTCCAGCAGTCGGTAGCTGCAGCAGCCCTTATCGCTGGACAGCTTGCTGCCTGTTTCTGTCCAGCCCTCCCCAGCTCCCTGCTCCCACCTTATCCTGTTCCCAGCATGTGTTATTTATTCAGCTGGATACTCCCACAGCCAGGAGCAGGCTGGCAGCGGGTCCCACTGCGCCGCCCTTGGTCCCTTGGGACACAGCTCCCCATCGGCTGGAGGCTGCCCTGGCCAGCAACCACCTCCTCTGCTTCAGAACCAGAGCTGGGTGGTACAAAACCAGACTGAAGTGGGGTCAGACTCCATAAATCTCCTTAACAAACAGCCATTTTGGAGGATGGTTTCCCTGTTTTGGTGCAGGGACTATCTGGGAAAAGCAAAATAATATGAGCTTGGTTCTCAATGGCCTTCCCAGACTGACTGCAGAAGGGAAAATCAGCTCCTCCAGGCCAGTACAAGGTCATTCCTCCTGCTGCCAGCACTCCCCATCCTCCGGCCTCTGCTTCCCAGGACTGTGGACACTCATTCCATCGAGTCCAACTGACTCCTCCTGGCCACACTGCAGAGACCTACAGGGTCTGTGGGTACCCTGCACTCCAGAGCCGTGGCCTCTGGCTCTGCAGCCATCCTCTGAGCCAGCAGCATCCATGCTCAGCAGGCAAAGCCCTCACCCCTCATTTCAACTGCAAACCCCCATTTCAGGTCTGGGGATGCTGCTGTTAATCCCACCCAGGGCATCCCACCACACAGGGAAAGGCCCGTGCAGCTGTGCTCCAGGTTTCCAGGTTTCAGTCTGATCTGACATGGGTGGTGACATTCCATGGAAGCACTTGGAAACGCTTACATTGCATTCAGCTTCTGCTCCATGTTGGCTTCATGCTTTCACATCCGTGAGCTTTCACCCTGTGCTTCATAAATAACATTAGCCCACGTCCCCGGCTGGGTAAATTCTCCTCTGTCTTTGATTTGATCCACACAATTGGACACAGCCCTTCTGCTTCATGGTATTTGCCCAGAAACAGGAGAATCCTTTAAGCAATTTAAGGCTTGACTGATCAGCACAGGTTGTACCATCACTGCGGAGCAGCCCCTCGCAATGCACGCAGCCCCTGAGCCTGGCTCACCGGCAAGGGAGACCACAAACCTTCAACTGTGTCCCAGTGGATGTGGGACAAACAGGCCCGTAATTCATCACCCAACTCCCCAGTGATGAGCGCCCGCGTGCTGCAATTCTGCTTACACTGAAACTTCCCAGATGTCCAAATCATGTCATAATTATAACAATTTTCAGTTATTGTCAACCTCTTTCCTCTCGCTGGCTCTCTCTGCAGATGAGCATGCACGCTCTGGCACTCTATTTAAAGCAGGATCGTTAGCTCTCAGGATACCTTGGCCAATCCTGAACACTCATCAGCCCTATTAATCCCTAAGAACCACTGAGCACAAAGGAGCGAGGGGGAACCACTCAGAGCAGCTGCTTCAGCCTTCCTTGGAAAGGCAGGACTGGAGGAACAAACTTCCCGTGCATTCCTGACTCTCCTTAGGGCACTTTCCAAGCCTATTTTTAGAGTGACCTTTTAGTGCTGCTTTGGGTATTTTTAGGAAGACATTCATTCAAACAATTGTAATCCACTGGTGGCCAAAAGCAGTGAATCCGTCCCGGGAGAGCAGGTAAACACCATTCCTGAGCCAGTTATTAATCAGCCCAGGACAAGGTATAGGATACCTGTAAAGAAATCTGCCCTATGTCTGAATGAGCCTCCTGCTGCTTGTTTTGTCCCTAACCAGGATCAGGAAAAGCAATTCCCTTCCTGGGCCTGCACTCACAATCCGGGGAGATTGCATATCATGAGCTTTCAGAGCTCAACAGAACAGCTGGGACAGGAGAGAAAATGAGAAATCCTCATTATCAAAGACTTCCTTCCTCCAATATTATCCTGAGTTGATGCTCTGCAACAACAGTGGTGTTACTAAATACGTTAACACAAACTAAGCCCAGACACTGAAGCAGGAAGACTGCAAACCCAACAGTAAGGCAAAGTGCTCATTCTCTCATATAGATCAGGTACATCAGGAAGCAGCAGAAAGCAAAGCCTTTTATTTCTCCAAGTAAAGAGAGTCACAAACCCGTTTTCCCCCTTTCAGTTCATCTTTGCAGGCAGCGTCTCTAACAGGCTGCCAGTCCCCAGGGCTGAGCACAGGCCACACCATGAACCTGACAGCCTCCTCAACAGGATACAACTACCTTACTCCAGTCAACTTTGCATATTCGGGCCTGCCCCAACTGGTTGCAAGAACCTTTACCCTGAGAATAAACAACCAGGAAATGCCTCCAACTGCATACCAGGCCTTGGGCCAAGGAGGCAATGGGCTCCCCACCTCTGCCTCAGCAAGCACCCCGGGGCTGGGAGACAGAGGGGTTAACAGAGGAATGCAGGATGCTGAGCCAAAGAGCAAACCAAGAGGAACAGCAGCATCCTCCTGGGCTCCAGCACCCTGCAACAAGAGAACATCTGCCTAAACAAAAGCTCCCTGTGCTGGTGCAGCATCCGTGCAGCAGAGAGGATCTCAGAACTTCATCTGAGACAGGCAGAGTGCATCAGTCTGACCCAGACTGAATCAGTACACGGGTGGGAGACCCAGGCCATGCATTTCTGCCCTTTATTCCAGACTTTCACACACAGTTGGCATCAAGTCCCTCTCTGAACTGGCCACCCTTGCAAAGGCATTTCATGTTCCTTGACTCCACTGCCCTGTCCCCATGTCTGTGCACCAGTAACCCTTCAGCAGCCACTGAAAACAGGCCTGGTGGAGAATCAGTGAGGCTCTTGCACTCATAGAGCACATACTCCATACTTTGAGCAGGAGCTGCTGTCTCACCCCCTGGCCATCCTCACCCTTGCTCCTGATCCTTTACGTACCACAGGATGTGAGCAGGGCCCTGCAGCTCTCCCTCCAAAGCTCTCTGACAAGCTGCCCATCAGCACAGCTAAGGGATGGGTACCAACAGCCTGAAGATGGGCTGCTGCCACCCTGTCCCTGCAGCTGCATCAGCTCTGTGCTAGCCAATGGCATGAGGAGGGGAGCGATGCTCACAGGATACTGACCAGTAGGAGTTGATGATCTTGCAGAAGGCCAGCTCACAGCACATTTTCAGGTTGCTCTGATGTTCAGGAAGGTCTGAAGATGAACACTTACTGGGATCCACCTCGCAATTCTCATCTGACTCATACAGTGCCTTGATAAATTCCCCTGTAAAACAGACAGTTGGTGATGGGTTCGAGAGACACGAGAGATGCAGCCTGCAAGCAATTCTGTTCACGAGCCCAAGCATCCCACCTGCACCCCACCACGCTGCCTGAACAGAAGTGGGTACAAGAGCTGGTGGTGGCTCCCAGGGCAGGCTGTGCCCCACCAGCTCCCAGGATCCCTGACCAGACCCAGGTGCAGCCTGCAGAAAGGCTCCCGTATTCCCAATGAGCACATTCCATCCCTCTCACCCAGCTGGCAGCTCTGCCCTGTGGCTATGGGCTATTGCATCAGAACTGAGCAGCCAAAACAGCCGCTTCCTCAGCCTGCCCTGAGCCCCCATTACACCGGTTCCAGAGACGCTCCCTTGGGCAAATCCAGTAGGAAGTATGCTGGCAAGTTCTGTAATTATTTGTAGGATGGCTGCTACTGCAGCCTGTGCCCTGGCATGGAGAAGCCGCTGTGATTCACAGGAGAAATGGGTAATTAAAGGAAAGGAACCATTTACTGGGTTTATTTTGAGCTGAACATCACACAAAATTGAATTAAAACATTTCTCTGAGCTTCCCTGCACTCCTGTTTGTGCCTGGCTGCTCCTCACACCGTGGAGGATCACACCATGGGGCTGCTTTGGAGCTCCTCACTCTCGTGCCACCTTTCACCCTGGCTGACAGATCCCTGCTGCCCAAGCTGATGATGTTCCCACTGCCTGGACCAGTGTCCAGTTTGGGGGTGGCAGTCACCCATCCCAGCTAACACACAGTGGTGGCTGGGGATGGGATAACGGGGATTAGAAGGCAATGTCTAAGGGATCTGCAGAGCCAGGTGATGTTCTGGAGAAAGGCTTGCTTTGGCTTTCTTCTAATTCCAGTTGGTTTGCTCATCTCCTAATTCCGGTTGGTTTGCTCATCTTCTCAGTCCTGACCGTCTTGGATTTTCCCATACTCCTGGTTTTGGCTCACTCTCGTCTGCATTCCTCCCCTATTGCCAAAACAGATTTTAATTACACACTGGAGAGCCTCTCCAATGTATTTTCAGCTCTGCCAGGGAGCTCTGGAGCCTCTCTGCTCGCCTGCAGGTGATGCCTGCTGTTAGCACCCGGCCCTATTACTTGCTTGTGCTTCATGGTTTAAAGGAAAACACTATCTTTTATTGTGTTACCTTGTGCTGTATTGTGTTACCTGGTGACACAGAGATGAATCACTTCACTGATAAAAGGCCTTACACAGGACCAGTGCCCTGACCAGCAAGCAGGAACCCAAGGCTCCACCTGCACTAGCTGGAGCTGGCTTGGCAGCATTTGCATTGAGCCCTGAAAGGGGAATGTTTCAGCACTCTGTGCCTTCATTAATCCCCTGGCTGCTTAGAACTTGTATGAGGTAATCTACTTACAGACTTGCCTTCAACCAGAAAGCATTACAAGGCAGAAATAAATACTATTGCTTTTCCTATCCTTGTGGGCTATGTGTTGCTTCCACTCCACGATCTCCCCTTCCCGATGCTGTCATTATTACTATTATCTTAATAAAGTATTTATGCTTCTTTGCTCCTTGCTAAAGTTACACAAATCCACTGGTAGGAACCCAACATCCTGAAAAATGAACACTTCACTGGGAGCTCTGCTAAGACGTGGATCCGATCTAGCTGCCTTCGGCTGAGGCTCAGACATCATGCTTCAAAGCAGCCTCTCCCCATCCTCGTGCCGTGCTGGCTGCAAACAGCAACACAGCAATTCCTTCCTGACCTGCCCAGAAGCACAACCTCTAATTATTTCCATTTGCATCAAGAGAAATATTTTTGAAGCCATGAACATCGCCAGCACTTAAAACCCAGCCACCAGGAGGGCCGTTCCCAGCGTGATCGGGGACATGGCTCCCTCCTCACCAGCACTTGGGAGATTGCATCTGATCTCCAGCGCTGCAAGGAACTGAGGGAGCGTCTCTGGTCCCGGGGTGCCATCAGGGGAAAGGTTCTATCAGCTGCTGTGACACTGACGGCACCGAGACAGAAGCCATGGAAGGCAGCATAATGCCTTCACATACCAATTTATCTCCTTTGAAAGTGGACTGAAGCACTAACTCAGTGGTGACCTTCACCTGGGAGCAGAGAGCTGCCTGTTGGGTCACGGCTGTGCCCCTGGTTGGACCCTGCTGCCAGTGAAACCCTCTGACAGGTATCAAGGCTCCACCACAGAGCACCCTGCAACCTAGAGGACTTCTCTGGGTGAGCCTTGCCAATGCTCTGTACGTACCTAAGGCATCTTGCAAGTATTTCTGCCCCACCAGCTTCAGGTATTCTTCGATTGCTTTGGTGGCCAGTGTGTTCTCCCTGAAAATGAGATGCTCATTCTCACCACAGCGATCAACTTCAGACATCATCAGGTCAGTCAAGAAATCCTGGAAAGCAAAGCCCATGGTGGGTCACCACGCACTGACACACGCTTCGTTCAGCAGAGCAGGCAGCCTCCCCTCCTCTCAGCTTTGTGAGACACAGGACAGAGCGGAGGGTGATCCTGGCTGTCCCATGCTGAGCTGCTCCCGGCCCCACTTCCCTCCTGTTCCAGCCTCTTAGAGGAGAGGAAAAATAAAGTCTCTGGAAAAGTCACAATTTTCACACCACAAAAACTATTCAAAAATGACCCCCAAAATGATTCATTTCAGACCTGCACCACATTTGCCTCTCCATCAGTGCTGGTTTCCAGCTGGGCCTTTTATCTGCCTCACATTTTAGGATGGTCAAGGTTGGAAAGGACCTTAACATCGTCTAGTTCCCATTTTGTGGGTGAAACATCATGTTTGCTGGTAAATGTGGCTGTATTTGATGTCTAAGTGACTGGTTGCAAACCAAGGGCATGCTCGGATGTCATGAGCTGTGCCCCACAGTTAATGGCTGAGAATCAAGCCTATAATATGCACCAAGATACTCAAGTGTCCCATTTCCTTAGTACTCATGGAAATAAACAGCATTGCTACAGCACAGATTTGGGGCCTGATGTGCACACAACCAAATCCCATGTAAGCATCTTATCCCCTGGGCTGCAGAGCAATGAAAGGGGTGAGCAGGAGCAGGCCACATGCTGACAGCTGCCCCGTGCTTCAGACCAGGCTGCTGAGTTACAAAACCTAAACCAGTACCAGCCCTTCTGCCCCAGCTCCACGTCTGCTTCAGCAGCAGCATTAACCGAGCAGAGAGCATCACACGGGTCCCCATGCATTCTGCTGAGACTCCACTGCGTGGTGTGGTATTTAGCGTGCTACAGCCAGTGTTAATGCAGAAGAAATGCCATGCAGATCTTAATGCTAATATATATTCAGCTTCTTTCACTGCACTGCTAATGGGAAAAGCAGCTCTGGGCTCCTGCCCAGCTCCTCGCTGTGCTGGCTGCTGGAAAGGTCCATCTCCTCCCACTCTGTACCATTCACCTGGGCGAAGGGGAACAGGCACCGTGTAGATCAGATGCATTAAAGCGCTCACTGTTTCCCATGCAGGAGACAGAGAAAGGTTGACACACACATTCAATTCCACAGCCAAAGGCCCCTTTTTCTAAACTGCTTTCCCCCAGAACAAAATCATCTGCTTGGTAATAACCTTTCACTATGAAATTCTCCTTCATTTGTCACAACGGTACCAGAGGTAACCTGCTCCTGGCAAGGGCACCAGGAGCATCCCAGAGCTGTCACGCAGAGACCTAGGTCCTGTCCTTGCCATTCCCAAAACGCAGCTCCCGAGCACCGTGGCCATGACCCAGCCTGCTCCAACCCAGCTTCAGGAGAGGGGACACTGAGATCCCATCCCTGCCAGTAGCTGGGAGAGAGAGAGGCACTCAGCTCCATTTCATTCTTCATACGGACATCTGTGCCCTGAGAGCTTAACCAAGGTTCAAACAGCACCCAATGGCCCCAGTCTCTCCCACCTTCCCACAAGACTGGGACCAGTACACTGTCCTGACCTTCCCAGAGAGCCCCAGAAAGAGCCAGAGGAGCTCTGGTTAAAAAAAGAAGTCACTTCCATTATTTCTTTACCCTTCGTGAGATCCTGCTATGTCTGCAATGCTCCTGCAGCTGCAGAGGCAAAAAAATCCCTCCTGGAAGCAAAGCACGAGCCTTCCCCCACTATTTTCTCTCATTTAGCCCCTTTTATCAGCCAGGCTGGAATGAAACTTTAAACCCCTGCTCAATTCCCACTGGCTGCTATCTGGGTAACTCCATCACCTTTATCTTCCTGGGTCTCTCCCGGGGTCCGTTTCAATTCTAAGCCACAGCTCAGGCTGACACAAGGTGCTGGTTCTTAATTAGCAGCCACTGACCTTGGCTTTGCTCGATTCTCTTTCCTGTCACTTTCCCAACATACTAATTATCTCAGGAATAACTGACTTTTACAGTTTCTCCTAGCCAAGGGTTTGCTTTCCCCTCCATTGCTGGCCAAGGACTGGCAGCTGTGGGATGCTGGTCCAAGCTGTGATGCCCACCCCAGCTGGAGCCAGGGCTGCCAAGAGCTGGATACCCAAAAGACAAGGTTTAGCCACTGATAATGCCAATTTTAACGATTTTTGCTAATCTAGAATCCACCAGAAATTAAAATGAGGGAAAATTCCACTGTGGGACTCAGCACATGGCCAGGAAAGGTTGCTCTGAAACCTCTGCTGTGGCCATTATCCACTATGGAGCACCTGCAGCTTGACAGCTGAGGAACAACCTCTGGTTCCCAAAGTGGGAAGGAAAGCTGCTGAAATCCCAAAGAGCTCCATTATGGCACAACACCCAAAGCTGGGACTTAATGTGGTGGGATCCGGCTTTGTAACTGAGAGAGGGATGGAAGGAAGAGCCAGGACATCCACCAGCATCCCGCAGGCAAGGCCTGCTCAGCATCCCCAGCAGGTCCAGCCTCCCCAGGCTGCAGGAGGCATCTCGCCAGGCTACGAACCAGCCCTGGGGTGCATCAGGGATCAAAATACCCACAGCCAATGTCCTTCAGTGAGTTCCTCTGCCTCTGGGCAGCCCAGCGGAGCTCTGCTGGCTGCAGGAAAGGAGCCTCCTCCATGGGTCAGTTCCCATGACATCCCACAGTTCCTGTCCCAGGGCCATTTCCAGATCCTGCCTTCCCTCTGCACAGAAAAGCCCCATGGGCTCTGGATCACACGTCTGGTATCTCTGCCTGAAGTACGGCAGCAGCCAGCACTCAGAACACACAAATGGAATGCAAATCCTCGTCGAATCCCTCCGGGGGCCTCACTCACCCACATACAAGGCTCTGAATAAAATGCAATAACTAAAGCCAATAAAACTCCCTGTTTCTGAGCAGCAGAGATCAGCAGGGGGTTGTTTTCAGTTAGGGCCCCTGGCAATGGAAGAAAATAAGATGCTTTATTTCATTACATGGGAGTCGAGAGGGGAAGGAGAAGGTCTACAGTAAAAATTAAGGGCTGTGGCAGTGCTCTCCAGGCTTGTGCCCCTGGTGGTTTTCAGGGTATTTGCTTCAGACTGGACATGGCTGAACCTGTGCAACTTCAGTCACTGTCCATATGCTGACAGAGAATCAGAGAATGCTTTGGGCTGGAAGGGACCTTCAGGATCACCCAGTTCCAACCCTTCCAACACTGCCAAGAGCAGCTCACAAAGAGATCAACCCAGTGCACTGGTTCCCAGCACTTTTCAACCAACCAAGCATGAACCCCAGCAGCGTGAGCTGTGCTAAGGCAGCTCCTCCAGCAACACACACAGGAGAGGCAGCCTGGTCCCTGCAGCAGAGAAGCTGTGGCTGCCCCATCCCTGGAAGTGGTCAAGGCCAGGCTGGACAGGGCTTGGAGCAACCTGGTCCACGGGGGCTGGAACTGGGTATCTTTAAGGTCCCTTCCAACCCAAATCATTCCATGATTCTATGCCTGAGTCCTCCTGCAGCTGGAATCTTTGACGCTGCCATGGAGGATCCCCTAAACCTTTGCTTGGGGAAACTGGAAGGAGAGTATGGAGATGGGGGTGATGCCCTGGAACAGAGTACGCTGTACCCCGCACATGGTCCCTGCAGGCGGCTGTTGGAAGCTGCTGCCCTGGGGATGGCTTCAACTGGAAAAGGGCTCATTGCAAAGTGAAATCCACTAAAAGAAAAACCAACACCTGCTCAGGAACAGGATCCTTCATTGCCCACGTCAATGGGGCAAAGGAAGCGGACTAATTGCATTGCTCCAACACAAAAAACAGGCAGAAAAAGCTTCTTCACAGGGGGCAAAGCCAGAGCAAAGAAAGCTAATCCAGTCACACATGATCAGCAACTGACAGCTCAGCCTCCAGCACCCCTCAGCCCTGCACATCCCACAGGGCTCCAGACTTCCAGTGCCTGCACTTGCCGGTGCCAAGAGAGCCGACCCTGGTGAGGGGTCTGTCTGCATCAAGTACCCCTGTGCCCGGGGGGTGTCACTGGGCAATATCAGCCCCCTCCAGCTCCGGCACCCAGGAGGCACAGAGATGGAGCCAGCCGGGGGCCTGGCCCAGCTCCAGTGGGAGCAGGAGCATTCCAAGGGCACAGGGAGCCAGGAAACAGCACAAGCCTTGCAGGAGCACCCTGTGCGCACCCAGGATGGAGCCTGCACTCGCTGTCCTGCGGGAGGGCCTCCAGCCCCTCAGGATGTGTCCACCCTGGAGCACGTGGGGGGTGAGGGAGCTGATGAGACCCACGGCCCCCCACACACCACCTGGAACACACAGCCCCCAGGGCTGGAGCTGACGGTTCCAATGTTGTAAGTGACTGATGGGCAGATTGACTTTGAAATAATAAGGTTCTCCACATCATGAGCCTGATTAAGAGGATTGACTTAACCTTAAGAGGATTGAATTGATAAAGGTAATAAGATTACTGCTAATTTCAAAGACTAGCCCAGAGTCCAGCTGGGCTTTTATGCAAAGGTGAAAAACACCAGGGGTTAGCAGGGCTGTAGGTTACAGGTGGACCCATGTGTGTCAGTGAAACACAGCACTTGATGTGCAAGGAGAGCAGTGGAGGACAGGGTGTGAAACCAAGGATCCCAACTGCCAGCCACTGACTCCTGACCCCCACGGATCCTCTGAGGAGCTGTGCTGGACATTTCTGTGCTAGGAAATGCAATGATGTTCCCTCCTGTGAGTGCTAGAGCTCGTCCTCAACACTTCCAGCACTTTCCAGTTCTCCTTGGGAAAGGAGGTGAAGTGGCAACGTGAGGGTAGACACAAAGGAATCTGCTCCCATCACCTTGCTCATGGCAATAAGAAAACCTTAAGGATATAGTAACAACACACTGAGTGCCCACCAACCTCCCCGTGAGGGCAGAGGGGCTGGATCCCACGCAGGAGGCTCAGAAACTGCTCACCACCCCCACAGAGGGGTAAAAACTGCACGGGTGCTCATAAAACTCATTAAAAGCTTTACTAGTTTAACTATAGCTACTATAAAGCATTATCAGACAGATAAACTCCATGGGGAAGAGGACCTGGCTGCTGCAGGCTCATCTATGGTTGAACTTGTGCAGTGCCTGTGCTTCCCTGTGCACTTTCCCAGTGCTCTGCCCCGACTCCACGGAAGGAGTCACTACATTGCTCAGCTGAAGCTAACCCTCACAGCACAAACAGGGACTCACCCCATTCACAAGGCGAGAAATATTTATTTCAAGGGGGCAGCTGGCTCCTTCGAGCTCTGTCGAATGCTGGCTTTGAGCTACCAACCATTTGGACAAGAGAGGGGTGGTTTAGGTATTTATGGTCATGAACTGAGCTCCAAAAGCTGTAAGAGAGCCCTGAGACAAATCTACGCATGGGAAATACTCTGGAAGCATCTGAAGTCGCAATCATTGTTGTGTTGGGAAGGATGCAGCCACAACCACATCACACAGGCCACATCAAGCCATGCTAATGGCAGGGATGAGCACTCCTGGTAACACCAGGTATGGCAACAGAAATACCTGAAGTTATGACTCTGTGTCTCTGGGTTGCAAAACACATGGAAATAATCAGGCATCTCCACACCCTTAGAGGTAACACTTTATCAGTGCTCTCACCGGGGAGATGGAATCACGTAATGAGTCAAGGAGCGATGCTGAGAGCCCGCATCCCTGTGCTGAGCCACAAACCCAGGTCCCTCTTGCCTCTTCCCACCCCTATGTGCCATAGAAGGAGACAGTGACCAACCACTGCCTGATGGAGGGAGCTGGCGTAGGGCTGGATGTTGGTCAGGCTGCCCCAGAGGGCTGGGGCAGATCCCTCAGCCGGACCATCTGCACTTCTACCTTCATCAAAACTCTCTTCCCCCTCCTCAGTGCCTTGGTGGCTGGTCAGGAGGTTCCAGGCACACCCTGATGTGCACCAAACCCTCCCACAGCACTGCAGGGATGAAGCTTTTCCCTTTCCCAAACAGGGATCAAAGGATGGACTCTTACTCCCAGCCAGAACACTCCGCTTCCATTCCCCACCTTCTCATCTATTGTGACACAGTTGTGAAGCCCAGGAAGAAGCAGGTATTTAGGGAGACAATTCACCTACAGCCCTTGTCCCCCTCCTGCTGCAGCTCTGTGCGCTCTGCACGTGGCATCACCCATACAGCACCACATCACCCCTCTCCTGCAGCGTGGCTCTGGGTGGACACAGGGACCCCATGACCCTGCCTCATTAAGGGATTACACCATATTTACAGCAAATCACGGCAGGAAAGCAGGGCCTGAAACACTGCACGAGCAATTAGCTGCTAACGAGTCTTCACTGATAATCTACTGGACACTTGTTTTCTCGGGCCAACTGTTAATTGCTGCTTTAGCATCAGCTACAGCAGCCAACATCAACAAAACCCCCTTTATCAGCAAAATAAATCAGTGCTTGCCGAGTGCCACGTCTGCACTCTTCAGGGCAGGGGAGAGCTCTCGAGGCGGCTGGAAGGGCTCTTGGCAAGGCACAGGGATGCAGAACCCACCTCCAGCTTCAGAGGTCCCAGCAGGACAGAGCCTGGAAGGGGGGGGGGCTGCCCCCAGGGTGCTCCTCACCCAGCAGAGGCTGGATTTAATCTTGACATAAGAAAGAAATGTTACACATTTAGAACAATCAATCACTGGGAAAACCTCCCCAAGGACACGGGGGGTCCCCATCACTGGAGGCTTTCAAGATACAGCTGGACAGGGAGCCAGCTAATCCCATTTAGGCTGCCTCTCCCTCAGAAGGCTGGACCAGATGATCTTCTGAGGTCCCTTCCAACCTGGGCTGTGCCATGATCCTATGATTTTACCTTCCTGCTGCTTCTCCCCTCTCTCTGCTTGTCCAACTAAAGCACACACCACCTGGTTCCCATGCTCCAGTAACTCCTGTTGCTCTGACAGCTCCCTAAACCCTGTGCTAATGCTGATGGCAGATGACAGGCAGGGAAAGCAGAAGCTCCATTTTAGGGGGAAATTCATCAAGTCTGTTTACTGTTTGCCATGTCCCCTGTGCAGAGCCTCTGGGATCTCAAGCACTGATGCAGACACATGTCTGGAAACACACTTGCTCTCTCTGGAGCCTCTCCAGTACTAAGGAGAAGAGGAAAAAAGCAGGAACAGTGACAACAGCTCTCAGCCATGCCAACATATGATCCGTGGTGACTGAGACTGGGGCGATACTTGAAGCCTTTTGCACCAGAAACACGTAAGCCATGGACATGGTCCTTCAGTAGAAGGCTATTTCAACAAGAGCCCTGGCACTAGCGGACGAGAGGCAGCACAGCCCATGGCTCCTGATGAGATGTGCCCAGAAACCACACACTGATGGGTCTGAAGCCTGGCACAAGGAGTGAGGAGGGGACACCTACGATGCTCCCCTGTGTAACCACAGAGCGTATTTCACAGGCTGTGAATCACTTCTGTCACCTCTGAAGGCAACAAAGCCAAGGGGAGCAGGGCTGCGGTCCTTCCCTGTGCTCCTGGGGCCTGACACTGCTGCCTGGGGGAAGGAAGGCTTTAACAGCTATTTTCTCTGCCTCTGCAACAGCAGGCCCACGGCTGCACAATCCTCTCAGTGAGCTTTGCCTGCCCTGAACCAGATCAGGAGGGCAAGCCACTTCTCTGTCCAACAGAGGGTAATTAAATCTAATGCATGAACCCTGCCATGGTCCCAGGCAGCAGGGGCAGCTCTGGAGGAAGCAGAGCCTTGTGATTCCCCCTCAGGTGAGGGGCTCTCATCTCCTCAGCACTGCAAAAGCTTTGGAAATCCTGCTCTTCCTCAGCTCCCCCCTGCAGAGCTCAGGGAGATTCCAACAGAGAAAGCAGTGATGCCTTAACTCCTGCAGTGCTGACACCGGCCCTGCTCACCATGGCGGTGCTGTGCCACCCGGGGATGCAGGATGCTCTGCAGCAGAAGGGTCACACAACTCCATGTTCCATGTGCTGGGACCTCAGTGCTTGTCTGTGCTGTCCAGTAAGGGAGCTCCCAGCTCTGCTTGCCCTACTGGTACTCTCACAGATCACAACCAGGAGTAAATCCCACTCTGCCTCCTCCTTCCCAACCAGTTATGAATATGTTCGAAGTGGTCCACATAGACAGAACTGCCCTGGGTGTTCACTGCAGCAGTACCCAGCACACACGGGCTGCTTAGCTTAAGCCAACATTGCTTCCATTTCATCCCTGAGAACTGACTTCTTGCTTTACTTTCACTGTTCATAAGGCAAGAGCCTGGGCCCTGAGCCTCCAGAAGGGAGCAAAATGACTCGGTTGGTGTCTCGAGGTCCCACTGACCTCTTGCTAATTAAGCAGTTTGCAATTTGCTAGCAACCTGTTCATAATTAAAAGCGAAATTAGAGTGTCTGAATGGCTAGGCCTGAAGCCCAGCTCATGTGGTGATTTCAAACCCTAACACAGGAGCCTGCTCTCGATGGTGTCTGATAGGATCACAACGGGTCTTACCTTGGCCTTGCCTGTGCTCTGCAGGATGTGCACCAGCGCAGACGCCATCTCCTCTTTGTTCTTCACGCTCAGCGAGGGCTCCAGCACCGAGCACAGCACCATGTAATTGTTAGTGATGTACTCAGCAAACTCTTTGTACATCTCCATGGGAAGAATGCTCATACTCTGGTAGCGCGACTTGATGCGGATCATGGGCCCTGGGGACTTGCCCTTGCCCGGGTTGGGGCTCACCACTGGGTACCACTTCTCTACGAACTGCCGGCCTGTGACGGAGCTGACAGGGATGTTCACCTGCCCAATGAAGTTGGTCTTGTCCTTCTTCTTCTTCTTGTCAGTCTCTTTGTATAAGTGCACCGTAATGTTTTTGAGCGATGGGAGGTTATTAAATTCAAAGTGCTCCCCCCAAAAGACATTATCAGTTTTCAATTTACAGGTAGTTCGTGCATAAAGAACGTCGTCCAGGCATAATTCACACAAGTATTTCTTCTTAGCTGGCAGGTCCTTGGCTTCAATAATCCATAACTTTAACATATTCTCTACCCTTCTGCTGTTGTCCTGAAAAGAAGATGCAAAGAAAAACAGGTCACTAAAAACACCCAAACCACAAAGCCAAGCACAACAGAACTGGAGATAGGAGTTAATTATTTCGGATGTGCTAAATGAGCAGAGACTTAATTACATTTTATTTTAAGGAAATACTGGCTCTCAGGAATCTGCATAATAACACTACTTATGTTAATTTTCCAAATATCACCATGCTCTCCGTGTCTGTTGGTGCCAATTAATATGAGGAACAAGGAAGATAAAACCCTCCAAATCATAAATGTACCATTTCCCATTCACTGCCAAGAGGGCCTCAGCAGAAACCAGAAGAACTTCACTGATCACTACTGGCTTTTGCAGAACAGAAGCTGTGTTTCAGGTATCTCCCAACCACCTCCCTTTTTAGGACAGCAGCACTGGAGTCTGTTTTCTTTACTGTAATAGAGCAACAACCAAGGGATCTGAGCACACACCCAGCGATCGCCTCATCCATGGCTGGAATGCAATCACCTCTGGCAGGAAAAGAAGCATTTACAAAACCTTGTGGTATTTTAGGGCTGATGTCCAGAGCACCCAACTACAACATCAGGAGACAGAGCAAGTCCCACAGGAGAACCATCACAATCCAGAAATAGAAATGTGGCTTGGATACCTTCTAAACGACAACAGAGCAAAGGGCACTGTGGATCTTTAAGAGCTCCCCAGTGATGCTGATCTCATCCTGGAAGAATATCCAGGGGCATTTCTTGCAGGAGTGACTTGAAAGATAAAGCACTCACGGCTGAACCACTGCGAGGGGCTCTGCAGGGGACCTGCTTTGTGTGGAAACCCCTCACTGAAACAGCCACCATGGCCTAGGAGTCTGGGCAGGAATGTTTCTGCTGCAAGTCCACAATGGGATGACTGCTGCAAGTACTACAATGGGGTACTGCAGGTTCAGGAAGTACATGCAGGAACTACACAAGAACGCTGAATTCCTTACAGAAATACGGAGTCAGATACTGAGAGTTCATTGTTTATGACCTCAAACAAAGATGGAAAAGTAGCCATCAGTTAACAGCATGTTTTGAGATAAGGGCACACTTCCAAATGAACACTGACATCTCAAAGCCACAGTGATGCTCCCATCCCCAACTCACATTCCCAGGACTTTTCCTGTGGTGAATGTGACCCCACAAACCTTACACAGCTCTTTCAGATCATTACTACCAGGCTGCTGCACTTGGAAAGCACTGGAGTGGCTGAGCTCCCCATACAGGAACTCTCCCCTCCACTGCTCCGGTCATGATACTGAAGGAAATCTTTTATACTGACATTTGGCACTGTGCTGGGAACAATCAACTCCGACACAGAGGGCTCCTTCAGCAACCTGCCAGGCCTGGACCTAACGTGCACGCAGTTATGTGGCTTTGATGCCAGGATCCCATCATTTGTGTTTTCTCTGATCAGCAGAAAACGACTTGACAGAACTCATCAGCCCCGAAATCCTGCAGCTGATCATTCCTGATCAATCTTAATCCCCAGCTCCAGTGCAGAGAGGGAGAAGATTTTAATTCAGGATGTGCTTGGTCCTAGTGAGCCATAAAACCACATTTTGGGTGTCCCTGTGTTCTAGTGAAGGATTTGTTTCTGTAGCTCCCTAAGGGGATGACTTTGCCACTCAACTGACTGGAGAAGGGAACAGTAAATTCCACTACTGCCTCAGAGAGCTCGCTGTGAGGGCAGCTGAGTTTCTCCATCACTCAAGCAGACACCACAAGCACTACCAGAGTCAGGAAGTGTGCTCTGTGAACCCTCCAGACTACTCAGACTTGTCACTCTGCTGGCAGCTACCCGAGAGCTTCCTGAGCTCCTAGAAGTGGAAAGTCCTACGTATGCAGCAAGTATCATCAGTAACAGAGCAAGACTGAAGGTTCTTCAGGTCTGATCAATTCTCAGCAACAGCTGAAGCAGCAAGCACTGAGAAAAGAGGGGAAGAAGTAATTGGCACTTGCCTGTAAATATAATTGTGTGAGAAAGCAATACGGAAGAAGGCTGACCCCCAGTTACACTTACTCACTGTGTAATGACAATACGTCCCCTGCTGCTACTATGCACTGGGCTATAAAATGTAATAACGAGGAACTGAACTCTAACAGAGGCAATTCCTCAAAGCCACTACCTTATTTGGGTGCACGGCACGCCGCAGGTTTTCCATCCATTTATCTCGCTCTGCTGCGGAACGACACGAGAAGCACTTACTTCCTGATGAAGTCGTCACCTACAGGGAAAGGAACAGGATTATGTCTTGACCAGCACACTGCAGGCTGCGATCTGCGGAGCAAAGGGGAGTTAGGGAAGATGCTGGTGCATCTCTGTATGTTATGTTTTATTTTAAGTAAACAGCTTTACCCAAGCATGAAGCACCAGCCCCTAAGGCTGGCGGAAAAGCAGGGCAACTCTCCATGTCACAGAAATAGTCATGGAAGCAAATTCCAATTGCTTCTCTTCTACACCAGGAAACAGTACATAATGGGCCCCACGCATGCAATGCTTTAAACCAGCAAGTTCCACAACTGAGCATACAAATCCTTACATGAACTAGACTGCAACCACCTGGCATTCCTCCAGATTCAGCCCAAAGCCTGTGACAGTAACTCCGCATTCCTTGTTTTCTGCAGAACCCCAGGCCTGGGAAGGCTGGTTTCCCACCTTCCCCCTTCCTGCCCTGCTGCTTCCTAAGACCCCGCTGTGAAGAACACAGGGACAAGCACATCCTCCCCACTGCTGGCAGCAGTAAAGCAGCACTTGCAGCTTGGTCAGAGGCACTCCCACTCTTAGAGCACCTCATCCCCAGTTGGGCAGAGCCAGGCTGGGGCTCCTGGACCTGGACATGGGTGGTGAAGTGCTGCTGAACCCCCCTCTTGTGCTTCCAAGGGATCTTTCTGCAGCATTTGCATGACTTTCCCTGGCCACTGGGATTCCATAGGCAGGTTCTGAAGGAGCATGCTCACAGCAGTGACATTTCCAGTGGTGCAAATGCCCCTCATTCCTTATCACATCTGTGCTACCACATGGAAATAATCCTGTTGAGAGCTCACTAAAGCAACTGCTGCCCAGCAGCCTCAGGATGACAGGCACCAAGCATTTCTTTCTATCCATCACACCAAACTTCCCTGGCATCAATAACTGAGCCAAGGGGTAAAAGGCCAATAGTTCCCTGCATCTTCTCACATACATGTATTCTTCAAGCCCCTGCCTCTTCCAGGCCCTGCTTGGAAGCTGACAGCCTGTGACCATGGTACTATAACCCTATGCTGCCCATAAAGCCCTCCACAAGCTCTGCCCTCCTCTGCATTCACTGCTTTTGGTGATGTCCAATAATACTGTCTGATACAGGCCAAATGGACCTGGCTAATACTTTAAATAACTCCCCTTGAGCTTCATTTCCACCAGTCTCAAGCTACAGAATTACTTCTGAGTACTTTATCATTTCAGAGTGCTTGTGTTTCCACACTGCACACCGGGTTATCAGCTGCTGAGAGACACAATCTCCTTTAATTTCATGTATCTCCCAGAAGCCTAACCTGTTCTTACAGCAGAGCTGGCACTTGCTAAGATTTGTCATTAGCTAACCTCAATGACAAGCTGAAGGCACCCTGCCTTTGAACACAGACATCTTCTAACCCAGACAAAATGAGAAGAGGCCCATCCTTGTCTTTAGACAGTAAGGCAAGAAATCTTCCCACCCTTGATATCCCAGCGGCTCTCTTCTGGGATATCACTCTTCCCTGTCCTAACATGCTTTTATCCTCTCCCCTGTAAAACTACATATTCTTCTGAGCACAAGCTATCTTCTGTTTCCAAGAAGACTCCAAATTACTAGGCACAGCAGTATGATCTTTTCACCACCCCTTCATGCTTCGGTGTAGTCCCAGCTTCTACAAAGCTTCCCATAACAAATCCAGCATGCTCCATCTCCTGTTTGTTGCTGTGGATGCACAAAGGGACTTCTGGTGGCAAAAGAGATGTCCTGCTTGCAAGTCTGTGCCCATGGTGTGTGATCCCTACGCCCTGACCCTGCCAGAGGGTCCGGCAGTTCTGCATCTTGATCCTTTTCTTGGCTGGGAATGATACCTACAGAGCAGCACCACACAGCTGATGCGCTGCTGGTGTGGTGCTGCACCATCTTAACACCAAATCACCAATACAAAGATGCCAGAAGGACCAGTGGTCAAGCAAGTGGTCAAGATGAGAACTTACAGTGAAGTAACACAGAAGGTGAGCAGCAAATGAGCGCTGCTCATGGGCAAACCCTCCTGCTGACATTCTAAGGTCACAAAATTCAGTCCATACCGAGTGTTTTGAAATCAGTTAATAAAGATGGAGTAGGTCAAATACACCTTCCAGTAAACTACACCATCAGCCCATTACCTCAAAGGCCACTTCTCACCTGGCTTTTTGCTCAGCTCTTTAGTTCTGATGGGAGTTTGGTGAATAAATGCATCTGAAAACAATGCTCTTGGATCTAGAGAATGTGCTAGGAAACCTGGAAGCTCTACCAGAAAAGAGAATTAAGACTTCTCTGATTGCTGTTGAAAGATGCTCTCCTAAAGGCAAGTTCTCCTTGGTGACACACATAGATCCCACAGCTGCGTAGAGCATTCATATCCAGATAAACAAGCATGCAATTCAGCTGTCCTTTTATTGAATCTGTTCATTAAATGTCATTTTTCTTACCAGCTCTCTCTTACACTGAGTATCTGGTATATTTTCTTGCCACACTTAAATCAATGTATTTATTATCACCCAGTTATCATGGCAAAATTTGTGATTCAATACCAAAACAATCACCAATTAAGTAATCACTCAAAACCCAAAAGCCCTGTAACTATCGTACTTCAGTGAGAGAAGAGGAACATCCTCAGATATGAAGCCCTCTTGATCTGATGGGAATTGAAGGTCGTAACTACCACATGTGACCAAAAATATCATTTTACCCAGATCAGAAATAACATCCCAGCTTTAAGCTGTGACCTAAACATCACATGGCATTAGTGATCATGAGATTTTGATTATGAAGAGAGTATCCTGATCTCATGAAGATCCTGGATATGCTAGAATACTATTAATGTACAGGATAAGCTCAATTAGTAAACCACATTCATTCCTAAATTCACATCCACTGTCCACAGTCCTTGCCTGGGTGATCTCTTCAGTCACACAGAATGTCTCAGGCACAGGATGGGTTCCCCAAGGCACAGATGAAGGAATCCCACAGGACTAACCACAGAAGATGATAACTGAGTTACTGAAGCTGCTCAGCTCACAGTGTTCAAAAGGCAAGCTGAGGCTCAAGCTGGTCAGTGCCACTGTGGCCAAGCACAGAAGGACAAACCAGCCCCGTGCTGGCTGCTCGGGGCCACGCGAGCACCAGGGAACGTTTGCGCAGCTGGATTAAATTTAGTGGAGCTAAATTTATCTCTGCTAAATTCTCCCTTGCTCCAGCAAGGCCAGGGGGAGGCAACACGGTTCCAGTCGCATTGGAGCTACGACGGTTCTCCTTCCTGCTGCTCTGCAGCCCCTACTTTATCCTGCCAGTGCCCAGACACGAGCACTGCAACAGGGCAAGACCTGGGTCTGCCAAGGCAGGAACAGAGCCCTTCGGTTCTAATCCCTCTGCCTGGCCCAAGTCACCAGGACCCCACAAATAGCTGAGCCAGGAATAGGCCCTGGGAGCCTGAACTCCAAATCTGCTTCACTGGGCTAAGATGCCCACTGTGTATTTAGCAGTCGCACCGGCACTAGCTGGTTATGCTGACTGGGAAGTCTTATAAGGAGAAAGAAGATGATGCTGAGTAACTTTAAAATAAAAATCAATCAAGAAAGCAAGTAAATACCAACTGCCAAGTACTGAGACAGGAAAAAACAAGTTTCAGAGAACTAAATAAGCAGGAAAAGCCAAATGCAGCAGTTGAAAAGCTCTGCATTACTGCTGACTCCTTACCGAGGCAGAGCCCAGCTGAGCAAACAGCTTTAGCACGTCTTAATGCAGGTTGGTTTTGCTAAAGAAACAATCCCACTGCACCTCCATACAGCCAACTGCCTCCAACAGAGCCACTTGGGCTCGTTCCACTGCAGATGGCTTTGGCACTTCTCCCCTTTGTCTCCCTTTGGGTGCACTGCCAGTTCCTGCTCTGAACCTGCCCTCTCTCCATCTGCAGCCATCTCAGATCTTGCCATCTTCTTCTCCAAGCCATGAGGCTGCTGCGGCAGCTCGGTGGAGGAGGAGCTGTGGTGCATGTGCCTCGCACAAGTGAGGGCTCACAGATGGGAGCAGCTTCTCACTGGCCACTGCCCCAGCACCCCAGCACAAGGGGAAGGTGTTGAAGAGCTGCGTAAGGCGGGCACAGCCCAACAACAGCAATGCTTCACTTCTCACTTTGAGACAGCAAACTTGGCCATTCCTGACAGATGTCCCTAGAGAACAGATGCACAATAGCCTCAAAGCAGAGCCAAGGCACCGTTACCAACCAGCAGCAGCTTCCCAATGCCCTGTGCAGAAAGTGTCTTGGTTCCTGTTGTCCCCATGGAGGCTGGCAGGCCCTTCTCACTCAACGTTTCTTGGTGAGGGCTCCTTCTCTGGGGCATCAGCTGAGCTGCTCACTCTTCAGTGTTCCCATACTCAGCAGTGTGATGGCTCCTGGCCGTCAGCTTCAGTTTTCAGACTCATGCAGACTTCAGGCAGCCAGGCCACAGAAACCACCATAGGTTTTACTGCTCTTTGCTGAGCCTCCACTGAAGGGTGGCAGCAGTCTTCACCGAGCCTTGCCTGCACTCTCAGATAAAGCAATGCTGAAGGACTCATGATCACAGGCCATAGATGGGACCCTGAGGATATAACGATAACTGAAGGCAACATTCAAGCACTGAGGTGGTCACTGCCTGCCACCCACCAGGGATCCAGGAGATCTGCAAACCCATTCCAGTGCTGACCTCACTCTAGGTTTGAAAGAGGCTCTCTGGAGATCAAAGACCAACACATTATCACAACGTGACATTTAGCTCCCACCTCGGTCCTTCCCGCTGGAGCTGGCTGATGAGTAACCGTCAGTTATAAATCAATGTCCCTTTTGTTTTCTGGCATTCTTCCTTTCCCCTGCAGGATCTGCAGCGCAGCAATTAACATGTTCTCTTTTCTGTATGACTCTTCTTTACCCAACTCACTTAAGAATAAAGATTTTCTTCCTCCTCATGAGTGCACGACTTGTGCCATTTCCCTCTCCGTCAACTTTCTGCAAGTACTGTTCATATCCCTTCCCCTGCTCTTGTGCGCCGGCCAGAACTGGTAAACAACTCTTCTATTACGTATGTCACATCTATTTTCCATCTACCTTCATTTTATCTTGCTGGACTGGAATGTAATAGAGGCCATATAATTTACAAAACTGTTCTCCTCCTAACCTGCTGTTCAATGCTACGGAGAACGAACAGCACTGGCAAATTTATACCTCAGCCTACTTCCTAGTTGATGTTGGGGGCTGGTTTCTGCACAACTCTTTGTGTGTTAAGTGCTCATAGTGCAAGAGATGGAACTCTTTTCTTTCAGTGTGCTACTGTCAGTAAAGAACCTTCACCTCTCCAGCTGGACTCCTCTTGGCCACTTGGACAAGGCTGTTTTCACCCAGCACTGCCCATCCAAGGGAAACCTGCAGTTCAATCCAAGCATGTATCTGCTCTTCTATGACCAAGTATAAAGAGGTAACCTTCCCTTCACGGTATCGCCCACCTCATTACTGTAAGAAAACCACTTCCCAGTTCCATAGCCAGCCACTGCCATAAGCAATACTACTTTGCCATCCACAACACAGGACAAATGATTCCCAAGACATACTACACCGAATTATCCAACAACAGACTGGTTTGTACGTGTTCTACTACCTCCCACTAGTGCAGACCCAACCACATGCCACAGCAGATGTTAAAAGAAAATTGAAATACTCACAGATTTTTCTATTTACCCAAACAAGTGAAGCTTCAGTTTGCTTGCCCGAGTCCCCAACACTCCCACTGACAGCAGAACGCTAGCTTTGTGACCACGAATAATGTCTTTGTGAGCACTGAGGAGGGATTAGCACTTTCTCCTATCTGTACGAACATGAACTACACATTTCTGCTCTGCTAATACACAGCCTGAAGTAGCTCAGCACCTGTGGCGGCAGCAAGCTCTGCTGCGACAACGGGTACAAAGCAAAGAGCTTATTGCTCTGATTTTGTGGATATGATCCCCCTTGGAAAGATGGCAGTAATTTTCTGCCTATGAAATGGCCTCTGTGTAGCAATTCAGAGGAGTAATGCTTTACAACAGTGAGAACCCACGCTCCAAGCCCACACCTGGCTCCCCAGCCAGCCCCACCACAGCAGGAACGGCCAGACAGACAGACCGAAAGGCTCCTTACCTCAAAGCAATAGTCTTGTCCCAGGATGCTACTGTGGACCGGCTTGATGACCACTTCCTCCTCCATACTGAGATCCAGAGCCTCAACAGCACTACTGGGACTGAGCAAAGACTCGTGGGAGCGCGATTCTTTCAGCCTCGGCATTAGATGGGATCTAGAGGAAAGAGGGAACGGCATCAGTGGGTGCTTTCCTCCCCAGAAATGTAGCCCATCTGTTAGCAACAACTGCAGAATATTCCTGGGAGGTTTTTCCCCTGAGATAACAGAGGGCCCAGAATAGCAGGGACTGCTACTCTGCCCCATTTATAATGTGGTGAGCAGGTTCTATTCCAGGCTGGTTTTCCAAGCCCTGATGCAGCCAGGACTACATTATCAGAGGTGTGCAGGCTGTGGGGCTCTGCACAGCTGAGCACGTCTCTAAATCATGCCCATTGTTTCCAGGTGGGCTGTAGCTGCCCCAGCAGGTACCACTGTGCTTATCAGTCCCACAGCTGGGTCTGCAGCACCTGGCTGCTGGGTCAGGAACGGGTTTACACACATGTGGGAATCCCATTCGCATCCTACCGGGCTCCCTGCTGTTTCACAGCACCCAGTCCCTACTGACAAAAGGAAGTTACCTGCAAAAGGGGAGGAATTAGTGACTTTAGCCCTTGTAAAACCCCAGACCCATTTGCTCCCTGCCTGCAGAACGTGCCCAGAGTTCCTGTGCACAGGAACCCTTCTCCCTACCAAAGCTCCCTTATTCCTCTCATTGCTGCAGCTGATGCCTGGATCCACACTCTGCAACCAACAACCCAATGGCTCGTGTGTTACACACCTGGGATAGGGACAGTGTGGAAAATAAGGCCATGATAGCCCTATCGATTGATCTAAATGCTCTGGAGTCCCACTGGCAGCATTTAGCAGCAGGGAGCCCACAGACAGCAAGCAGCACACCATTTTCGAGACAGCCAATACAATCAATGGGGCCGTAACTCTTACAGCAAAACCAGGGAGCTTAGGGGGAAAAACACAGCCAGGTACTCGCAGGGAAAGCAGCAATGGCAAAATAACTGGAGAGCAACAGGAGCAGCTGCCTCCTCTATAGCCTGCACCATGGAAAATGGTCCTGCTCCAGCCAGCTCCCAAAGCTCTGATCCTGGGAACTCTGACCTTTACATCCTCTGTGAAGCACTTTAGGGTCTTCCAAAGAGACCACGTGTCCCTCTGCCTACACAGAGAGCACAACATCTTCTTCAAAGGCACAGAAGGACACAAATAAAGGGAGGCTGAGATACTCCCAGCATGGTTTTAGTGAGTGAACAACAATGCTCCCAGTATGCTCTCAGCCTGCTTTGTGTGTGCTGAGTTTTGTCGTTCTCCAGAATAAAGCTGACCAACCCACAGAGAAATGTCAATAGCACATGCAAAATTCATAGTTTCCAGGGGATCACACGCCAGGCTGAACCTAGGGACCAGCCAAAGGGGATGCTAAATAAACAGCAGCAGAAGATAAACAGGTGCTGCTCTCGATTCGCCATTAAGACTGATGCAGTGGATGAGCCCCCAGGTGATAATGGATCAGCCTGCAGCTGGGTTCTCCAGCTGAGCATGCTAAATGGATGGCTTGGAGCGGGATAACCAGCCTGGGGACACGCTGCCCAAGGGTGCCAGGACAGCACAGCCTCCAGGCACCTCCCTGCATCCACAGAGGCCACAGCCAGGCTCAGCCACAGGGGTATCTGTGAGGGCATCTGCAGAAAACCAGACTCATTCTGTGGGGACAGCCCCAGCCCTCGGATGCTGACAGCCTGCGTTAGAGCAGCCCAGTGCTGGATCAGGAGCAGTGCCTTTGAAGCAAAAGGCTCTCCATCCCATCAGTGGTTCTCTAAACTGCCCACTCGCCCCAGATCTCTGTAGTGAACAAACTGATCTCTAGGAACTGGGCACACTCGTTTCCCAGCACTTTGTGGTGATTTTCCACTATTTCCACAGAAAAGGGTCCATACCCTTTCCCTCTGAATGCTAACTCTAATACAGGCAGACAGATCGAGTTACCTGGACACCGAGAGCAGGACTAATATCCAGCAGCTCAAGAAGTGACAATACAGCCTGCTCAGCAAGCCCACAAGCAAGGCATTTAGAGTAAATCTTACATCCATATTTGAGATGTGAAATTAGAGAAGGGAAGTCCCCAAGCTGAGACTTGCATCCTCGTGTGGACAAATATGAGTATGGATAAACTACACCTGCACCTCAGGAGCTGTGACACGAAGATGTACATGGCTCAGCCGGACCCCTGTGTGCTGGCCTAAGGCTTTTTGTTAAAACAAGTTTATTCTTCATGTAAAACTCCTGCAGCTGCAGGGCCCTGGGGGGGAGTGCAGATGTGCAAAGATGAAGAATTACCAAGGGAGAGCTTCTCGGGACATATTCTGTTCTCACCACATTCAGCAAACGCGTATTTATATCCCTCCATACTCTGCCATGTGCCTCTGGGAATCCCAAATTAATGGGACTTTCCTTAGGCAGGAGGCTGTTTGTCAGGTTCCTGCCTCGGCAGGACCCGCTCCCACGACGTCTCTTACTCCCGAACGATCAAATCCAACCCAGGTCAGCAACAGAACCATTTGTCAGCAGATGCTGCACTGTACAGAGGGAGCGCTGCAGGTCTCCAATCAGCCCTAAAAGGCTCAGCATCTGTCTGTGTATCAAGAGCTAAATGGGGAGATGTCATTAATTAGAGACTCTGGTTTGAAATCCCAGCAGAAGGGATGTGCCAGAGGCAGCCCTGGCAGAGCAGGATGAGAGCTGTCTCTGCAGAGCATCCTCCCAGGGTGACTGGCCCCATCCCCTCTCCAGCACCCCGGAACCAGCCCTGATGCTATGGCACTTAACCCATGGGGTCTGCAGACATTCCGGAGGGCAGGGAGGGCCACACACCCCACCAGGCTTCAAAGGACACACAGCCCTTTCATTTCCATACCCTGTTGTAGAGCACAGTGCATTCCTCGTGTCCTTTGGTAACAACATGACATTTGCAGCAGGAGGCCATTTACTGGAAGATGTTTGCAAGTCCCTGTCGCAGCCCCCACAGACTTCCTTTTGTATTAACAGCAAGAGAAGGATCTTGCTAAGGCTGTAAGCTGCTTCCCTGACCCCGAGGGTGGGAGCACTCTGCTTACTGGGAAGACCACTCAGTGTTGCCCCACTCTGGACACGGAAAACATGAGCCCGCTGTGTTTGTGTTACACTGAGCAAGAACTGGCCATAAAAGATGTGGAGAGCTTCACCCAAAGATGATTTACTGGGCAAGGGCTATTAAAAACCCATCAATTCCACTCACTGATGAAGAAGTGCCGAAATACTACACACACGATGTGACAACCCCCTGGGCAGAACAGCAATACAAGCAGGAGGTGGATACTCCTCAGCCCTGCCTTCACCCACCATGGGCAGGGAGCAGCACCCACAGCAACAGAGGTACCAGAGCACTTGTAAACTCATGTTCTTCCTTAACCATCCAACATCCTAACAGGCAAACTCACCTGGAACATCATTTGCTTACTGTGTACGTACACTTCCAAGGTGACACAGGTACTTTGCTCAAACTCATCTCTCTACCATCACTTTCCAAACGCTGCCCCTGGGGCCATCCACTCTCCCGCTCTAATAACTCACCGTGTATTCCAGGTCCCATCCCAGCTTATGTGAGCTGATCAGATTCAGTTCCTACACTTCTGTTTTAATACAGTGGGATCGGGCGGCTGCCCAGAGAAATCTCACAGCAGGAAGCCCTCCTTGCAAACAGCACTTTCAGTTCTTTCTGCCACGGGCCTTTTTTTAATCCCTTTCTACTTGCCTGAAGTTCAGCTGAAATGAAGGAGGGGGGAAATCTCATAAAAGAGCACATTAGTTCTAAAGAGAAATAACTGCTACCGGCGCTGACCTGGAGAGTCCTGCAGAGAGGCAGCCAGTCTCTCGTTATTAAAGAAGAGGTTTACTGCCCACGAGCAATGACAGAGGATTGTTGTTCTAAATAATGAAAGTCATAAAACATTTCCATGTGAAGGGATGCCATCCCCCTCCGCCTGCTCCTCCAGAGCAGCCAAAATTAGGGCCGTCAAGGTTTATCAGGCTGTGACAGCACACCTCATCCAACCAGGAGCTTGTGGGCTGCAGAGAAACAAGCTTGGAGGGACAACCCATTCACTCCAGGCTGGATTTGGATCAATGGAGGCAGCCACCAAGCCTCTGCAGCAGCTGCAGCACCACACACACTGCCCCGGGTCCAGGCTCCATGTTCTTTCAAGAACAAAGATGCTCTGCTGAGGCTACAAGGGAGGTGAGGATGTAGGGGCCTGTCTACACTGACTGCTTCTGGAATAGGTCTTGTGTGTTTAAACTCATACACTCTTATTCCAGAATTGCTTTCTTGTGAAGACAAGCCCTCAAAGGGACAACCCCATACGTTTTCATTACAGAACCTCACCTGCCTGAAAGCACCCAGCTGCTGCTTCTGTGGTTTGATGATGAGAAATTTCCTGTTATTTTGGAGGAAGAGACAGAAGCAAACAGGGAACCTAGCTGGGGAGCCTCAGAGGGATGGAGCAGACGCCAAACCTAACACTGAAACATGGCAAAGAAACTAAAGAGCCTTTCTTGAACCTCTTACTGTTCGTCCCATTAACACCAGCTGCAGTTGGCCTTGCAAAATGCGTGCCTCCCTGCTGTCAGAGGGATGTGATCTCCCCACTTACACATCTGACTCTGTGACAGGTCTCTCGGTCAGGAAACGATCCCTGCATTCAGCTTTGCAAGGGCTGACAGATCTCTCCTCTGACCAGCTGGGAAGAGTCTTTAGGGCAGGCCTCACCCCCTCACCAGCACACACCCGCTGCAGGGGTCCTGGACGCACACACACACTGGAACAGCCCCTGCGATCCACATGCAGCATCGACAGGATTTAGAGCTGTGTCCAGCCTGGGGATTAGGTTTTGTTCTGGCTGAGAACAAAGTGGACAACTCCCCCAGACTGATCTGCAGCATCAGATGGGAGAAGGATTTTAGCAGTCACAGATGGGAGTAAATCACAGCCCATCCTCTGCCAGCTTTACCAGGGCACACAATTGGGACAGGCTGTCGCACCCCAGGCTCGGAGCATCGCAAACCAGG